AAGGAGAAGACATACTCTCATATATTTTCCAAGCATGGGGATTTATCGTTATTACGAAAAAATTCTACCCATTTCTCCTCTGCTTTTAGACCATCTAACTTTAAGTATTTTGGCGAATCATAAAAAATAGAGAGAATTACAATCTCCTCAAACAAAAAATCAATGTCTTTCGGTATTTTTAATATATTTATTAAATTATAAAAACCATCAATTGATGGTTTCTGTTCCAAGGTCATAATATTTATACATTTGTAAATAGAGTTATTAATATCAAATTTTAATTGTAAATATTCTAAAATTGTCTTAATAAAAATATCTGCTTCATTTAAAAATGTATTAATTAGAGTATTATTTGAACATTTTAATATAATATTTTTAGCAATAGTGCCATAAAATTTATTATCAATTTTTAACTTGTAGAGATGAACAGAGCTGTAGCATGATTTTGTGAATCTTTTTTATAAATAATATTCTTATTGTAACTGAATATTAACTGCTTGAAGTAGATTCTACATGTGAAACGAATCCCAAATATGCTTCTGCCATTTCATACTCAAAAATTTTTTTCTATATTTTAGGACAGGTTTTAAAATCTTTATTTAAGAAGTATTTTTTTAAGGGTTTGTAAAATTTTAAAAACACTTTTAATTCATTATTTTTTTAGTTGATGACTAAATTCGTTAAAACATTTAATCACAATTATTTCGAGATAGTACATTTATTGCCTTCTTAGTATATGGCATATACAGCAAATTGGTATTAATTCATAATTATGCTGCCTCAATCCGATAACTTTGGTTTCTGCCAAAATTTACAGAGGCATTATCAGCGAAGAAAGCTGACATGCAAATCATTGATAATCCTGAATCAGCTTTATTTATCATTATGTGGCTAGCTACATCGTTGGATTTTTCACTATCCGAGGAAAAAATTTTAACAATTGTATTGAAATGTTCTTATTGTTGAAATAGCGAAGGATCGAGGGAAATGTTTTAATATTTCCCTTATTAGTTACATCTGTTATAATTGCATATGGGTGCCCATCTTTCAAATCATATAGAATTGAGCTCTAGGATTCAGGTACTAAAACACTTGTGATAGCCTTGCTCATTTTTGTTGTGCCACCAGTAAGGTTTGCAATTATATTGGAGTGTTAAATATCATGAGAAAAAGATATGACCCACATTGTGATGATATAGCTCTGTGAATGTTGAACTACATGATAGATGTATACGATTTCCGCAAATGTAGTTGCATCTGTATTATTTATTATTTTAGAATATTTTTGTATTGAATCGATGTTGATATATTCCCCTGTACTGACTTATATGAATGAAATGATGTTGATTTATTATTGGATAAAAATAAAACAGGATAGAAAGAAATTTACAAACTAGACATGTTTTTCGAATAAATATTTAAAATTATTTTAAAAATATAAAAATAATCAATTAATGTCTATCAAAATTATTATTTATATATTAAAAATGTTAAAATACTAAAAAAAAAATTGCGGGAGAAATTAAAAATTTGTGGTGGATTTTTGCGGGAGATTTTTGATCGCGGTAGTTTTGAGGGAGATAGATGTCTGCGTGTAAACTAAAAAATTGCGGGAGTCTGCTGATGGGGGAGACATGGCAACCCTGGTCATATACCGCAAAAACAATAGCTGTATTGTATGGTATGGATGGTGAACAGTACGCATTTATATTTCAGGGTAATTAAATTCCATATTACAGAATAACTTAATTTAATAAATCAAATAATTAAGTACGTAAATAATTATTTATCTAACTTCAATTAATAAATACTCCCTTAAATTTCAATACTTCAATATTATGATGAACCGAGCCCCATAAAAATATTCATAAAAAGGCTCATTAAGTAAAAATGACTTGTATTACATAAAGCCAACACAGTATATAAAACCAACAAAACATGTAAAAATCACTAAGTTTATCATTGTTTTATTTTCAATATATATATACTAATAAAAAAAATTATTTTATATATTCTTCCGAAATAAAAATGATTATAATAATATAAAAAATGGTAAAATACAGCATAACTTTTCAAAACACTAAAAGTAAGCAAAACAGAGGTCCAATAAGAATTAGTGAATATTATGAGAATTATATAATTTCCGTTTCTTTTTCTTCAGAACGTCACGATACCCTCTTCGATACGATATGTATAGTTGTTGATCCTTGTCGTCATCTCTAGAAACCTTTAATCTGAACTAACTTTTTAAAAATACGGAACCAGCCTCATAGTAACCCATTTTGCCCCGTTTATTAATTAAAATTTATTAAAAAATGTTATAATTGGTTAATTGGTTGAATACAGACAATATCGTCATTGCTTGAGTATGAATATATTAAAATTTTGAGACGCTATTGAGAATGACATATGTTTCCAAAAAAATACCCAGCGTAATTGGAATATGATATATCGCGTGAATCATGAAAAATTTAATTTTAAACTATTAATTATGAATATAATATTTCAATTTAATAATAATAATATTTATTTCTTTAATTTAATTTTTAGACACAAATTTAAGATTTTTGAAGAAACTATTAGTTTTAAAAATATTCTATAAAGTATTTTTGCTTATTATATTTATATTTCTTTATTGACGAGGAATATGTGATCGAGACGCTTATATTTTGTAGATGTGCAGCAAAGGAAAAAAAAAACTATGGAAGAAAACTAACTTTATTTAAAAAATCGTATATTAAACAAGAGAGTTATCATATAAACATACAATAATTTATTTTTTTATACTCAAAAAAATTACATTTAAAAGTATTTTAGATAAAAATAATATAAACAAAGATAATAGACATAAAAAACGATATGACATAACATAAACAATAAGGTGACTGCTATATATTAATTTTAACAATCTCTCCGCTTTAATAATTTGAGCGCGAAAAAAATGAAAAAACAACAAATATAACACTATAGAATTGATAACCAGCTCTTGATTATCATAAAGAATATTAAGTGGAATTTAAAATGGGAGAAAATACACCAATCCACTGTAGGCCATTTAAGTAGCATTAAGAATAAATAGAATTATACCGTTGGTTTTAATACTATAGTAAGTGATTGGGAGACTCCCCCCCCCAATACCTATACACTAACCCAATGGCTCCATTCGTCTGCAAATAATTTTATGTAATGTTAAACCTCTAGGATTATGAAGGTCAAATTTCTATATTTTCATTTCAGCCACCTTAGAATTTGGCGAGAAAAATAATATATGTTTTCCAGATCATCTATAACGTAGAAGTTAACCAAACAAGAGATAACTAAAATTATACCTCTGCGATCTAGAAAAATAACGATATATGAAAGTCTTCACGGAAATAGATAGAGCAATTGGTTAACCAATAGACAATAAATGTGTCGTCCAATCATTAATTTCTACTGAATTAATTATAACCACTTGTCTGTTGCAGTTTACTAACATATACAAGCAGCATCTTCCATTTTTAAATGTTTTGCAATATATTTAACCGGTCAATCATTGATATAAAAAATTGAGACTAAGTCATAAGTCTAATTCTTTATATATGACTAAGCCCAATAAAAGGATATATGGTATATTACCTTCCTTTAGTCGAATTTTGGTTCTCATGATCATTAAGTTATCCTAAATATTTTAAATCACCACTTAATTGAATATTTTAAATTACAACTCTTATAAATATATGTCTTACAACTATTTCTTTTCTTTATTAGAGAACTTTTCTTGTTTTAAAATTTATATATTTTCGAGACCTTATTTTCTTAAAAAATTTCAACTTTTATTTTTAACAAAAACTACACAAATTAAGATAATGAATTAAAATATGATCATATTGAAAAAATAAAATTAATAATAACAATAAAAAAAATATCTTATCCGATTATCTACAATTTTTTTTCAAGACCTAAATAATTAATATTGATTTTTTAATAAATTAAAAAAAATTTTTCAACTTCGTGAGAGTAAAAAACGTTATTCAATAATAAAATGAATAATATGTATAACTCACCACCTAATATCGTATAATACTTGTAAATATTGAGTCAATAATTGTGTAAATTTATTCCCCTTTAGGTACCTCGATAAATTGTTCCTACTTTACTTTAATCCTTTAACAGATGTGCAAAAAATTATTAATTACCTATGTTTTCTACTCCAAAGGGGGTGAAGGTTTGCCTTAAGATATTTATTGAAGTATGAAAATGATATGTATTTATGACGACGCTACAATTGAATAAAATTGTAGGGGTGGGAGTAGAATTTTTGTACTTTATTTTTTGTAGATTATGATTTATAAGAGAGGAGAGGGTTTTAAAGTGTAAGGGATATTTTCTAGAGGTGGGTATGGATATATAATTGTAATTGATTTAAGGAGATATAATGGTGCAGTGATAATGATCGATAACGTCGACGTTTATATTTTCAATATATTATCGATCTTTTAATTGGAATTACTTTGCAGAATTTGTAGTTTTTAAACTTCCAAAGACCGTCTTATCCACAAAAGGGTCCATTCTTTAATATGCCACTCTTATTAATATATATATATTTAAAAGATTTTATATATGTTTATTAATTCATAATATATATTTAAATAAATGAAAATGAAGTTTATTATTTACATAGCACTTTATAATTATGCAATTTATTTATAAATAAATTTTTTTAAAAATTCTGTTTTTAATATTTATATTAATTTTTTTTTAATTAAAACTGTTATATTATTATGTATCAAAATAATTTTACTAACTTAAGACAAATTCCTTGAATTTTCAAATAATAAATAAAATAGAAAATAAAATAGAAAATGAATAAAGCCCTAATATAATTAAATTGATGAAATATAAGTATAAGATATTTAACAACGAAGTAGATGTTAAAATTTATGAAAAACAGAAATATTTTAAAAGAAAAATTGCCTTATATTAGTTTGAAAATAATATTCTTTTATAAACAAAACGGTCTGATTCCAAATCTCATATGATTTTGGATTGTAGTATTTTTTTGATACATGGATCCTAAAAGACCACCAGCATCTAAAGTCGTTCATGTTAGAGGATTGGCTCCTAAAACATCTGAAAACGATATAAAAAATTTAGTTCAAAAATATGGGAATGTTTCTTATGTGCTGATGCTGCCACAGAACAATCAAGCATTAATTGAATTCGAAAATATAGAAGGTGCGCGAAACTTAGTTATTACCACTGGACCAGTAAATTGCTCATAATCTGTTTTGAATTTCATGTTATTTTAATATAGCCATCTAAACCTTTATATTTACATGGAATGCCTTGCTATTTCAATTTTTCAACCAGTCAATATATTCAACGAACTAAGTAAAATATTTTGTAATTTATTGCAAAAAAATTTTAATTATAGAAAAGAGACTAAACTAGTCAACCCAAATATTTTGTTGTTTACAATTATTAATGCCAAATATCCCATAACAATTGATACTATAAGAAAAATTTGTGAACCTTATGGAAAAGTATTTTAGATTTTATAAGATAAAATATAAACCATCAAATAGATTTTAAAGATTGTCATCTTCCATAAATTAGAGCTTCATGCACTTGTTCAACTTGCTGATGAAGCCACAGCATTTCATGTGAAAAATAATTTAGAAGGATGTGATATATATGCTGATTGTTGTACAATCAAAATTGAATTTGCAAGAGTATATTTATATTTTAAATTTTTGCTATGATATATAGTAGATTAAAACATAATAATACAAATCACCATCATATTTTTTTTAATACCTAGTATTGTTTAAATTAATTTCACCCTCCAAAATATTAGAATTTATAAATAATATTGTATATTGAAATATATAGTCGTAAATTATATATGTATTATATCTTACATAAACACAATTTTATTATTCATTATAAATAATGCAATGATATTTGCCACCTTGAATTATATCAAAACTTAGACTGATGATTTGAATGTTTCCAAAAACGATAGCATGACCTGGGCTTTGGATAAAGAATCACAACAAAATGTTACTAATATCACACCAAATGCATCTTTAAGTGAATGTCACTATATCTTATATTATTTATTAAAATGTTAATATTATTTTATACTCAATGACACTTAGAGTTTAACAATTTTTCATATCATCACACATATTATTTAAACTATGAAAAAGTTCCAAATATTTCAAAGTATATTTTTTTAAGTTTTGATTTACTTCCCACATCGTATATAATGTGTTTTAGATTTAGAGCAATAACATTATGGTCATTTCTTAGGCACATAAAAAGTTGGCAAATTTATTTGGCAACACAATGTATTGATACATTTCACCTGTATTTGATAGGAATATTATTAATGGGAGCCTGAAATTATTTCTTTATCACTTGATTATAATTGGAATTGATTTATAATATTTTGATAATCTCAGTATATAAAGCAATTTTGAGTTTTTTAAATTTTATTCAAAAAAAACATTTATTATATATAATATATTATATGGCAAAAAAAAAATCTTTACTACAAAAGTTTATTTTACAAACGAATGCCTTCCGTACTTTACTAAATTATATTTTGAACATTTTTTTAATCTTTAATATTATAAAGGCTAAAAAATGTTTTTCATTGTTTTGTTTAGTAGCACAAAATATAAAATTTTCTTTTAAATTTATCATGCTTTTGAAAAAGTCATCCAAACTAAAGCTTTTGCTTTTAAAAATAAGTAAATGATATAACTTCACTAAAACCATTTTTTAATTGATATTATAATATATGTCTCTTCTTGCACAAACATCTTATTTAGTCAATCTTGACCTTAATACAAAGGTAAAAGTGAAATTTATTTTATCTACACTACTATATTTATTGTCGCAACAAACGTAAACTTGGCATAAAAAATTTATATAATTATAAAAATAGGGGCCATTTTTTTTTGTAATTACAAAATCATTAAATCAAACATTAATTTTTAAAATGGTAGTTTTTAAATGGGAGCCCAATACAAAGTTACTGGCATTTCATTATAAAAAAATTGATTTTTTTAGTAGCTAGTTTCTCTCTCTCTATATAACATATATTTTTTAAAAAGACCCTTGTTCTTAACCCCCATCCCTTCCCCCTAACCTTTTCCCATCCTTCGATTTGCCCTTTAAGAAAAACCTTATTCATATACACACATAAATATTAATACATTTTATAAAAGCAAATCATTCCTTAATTATTATTTTCCAACATAATTGAACCTGGAACTCAAATACGTTTATTTTGCTAACCATATATCTGTGTTTCTTTCTGAAATTTTTTAAATTTATAGAATATAATTTTTTTTTTTAAAATTTCCCTCTTTATATTTCATATATTTTTTGGTTTTTTTTATTTGTTTTCATTTTTTTCTTCTATTTAGTCGACAATGGAATATATGGAGGAATAACACCCATTTCTACACCTTCATCTAATCCATATGAGAAAAGATATACCCTCGATGCTGGCAATGGTATTAGAAAAACACATGTTTTGGGTAATTAATTATAAATGAAAATCTAGATGGAATGATCACTTTAAGTTGAAAACAAATAATTCAGACTCATGTGATCTAATTTAAAAGGCCATTTGGACTGGATGACCAATTTCAGTCCATTTGATCACAATTAATATTCTTTAATATATTATTCCTTATTTTAAACTTAATCTTGTTTAGAACATATGTATGAATCACCTATCGATCAACTTAGATCTCCAAACAAGGAATATGACTATTTAAAGATGACAGTCAAGAGTAAACAATTATTATAATCATCTGGTTTCACACATTAATATATTTATCAGAAATCTGCAGAGGTACCATTTGCATGGCTCGGCATAGGATTAAAAAAAAATAAGATTTTTAGGTCCAGTCTGGATATATTTAAAAATATTAACACGGGGGCTTAGGCTGGGCCTGCAGATTTTTGATCATTATATCTCCCTAAAATTTTCATGTTTATAAACAACGTCATTTTTATTTATTAGTTTATAAATAAAAACCATTATTTTTATTTTAAAAAATAAAATAAGTATGACAAATTGGTGGGAGAGGTACCTATTTCTTTATTTACAGCCTTTATTATTACAATTTATATATATTTTTTTTTTTTTCTTTTCTTTTCTTTTGTTTTATTTATTTATTTCACATAACACCTAATTAAAAATATTATAATTTATAAATTATAATTATATTATTAAAAATAAAATTCTATAATTGAGTCCCCAAAAAGGAACCATAATTGTGTCTAAAAATTTCTATTTGAATTTTTTGTCGAATAAAAAGGAATTCTCTTAGTTCATTTGTGAAAAGTCGTATTTTATTAGCAAGATTTTTTAAAAACAAAAATGTTGAAGGCGAAAAATGCCCGTTAGTAGAAGTCACAACTGGAAAGTTTTTAAAATTTTTGTATTTGTTTATCTTTTTAATTTCAGCCTGTGTTATTAAATGGTTGTCATACCATCAGGTCTTAAACCATCTACTTGAGATAAATTTGATGGTTCGAGATTGTTAGGAATGTGTGCAGCTGTTAAGCTTCTATTTATTATATGGTTTACAGCTGAGTGGCGTTGATGTCGCCCTTGACTAAAAATGCAATTTAAGCCATGTCTACCCTTTGAATCAACGGGTGATTTGCATTTGACGCAGGCATGAGGCTGTACTATATCGCAACCTAGACGTAGACCAATGGTTACTCTCAGTTGTTCATCTGATAAGAGATTACCAAGGTTGCGACTAGGGAGTGATTCTAACCATTCATGACCACCAAGTCTGTCAGATAATTGAAGAAGTTGAATGCAATCTAAAGGTGGATTGACTGATATATCTGACTGGTATTTAGAGATTAAAGGTGTGAAAAATTTTTTGTGTGTGATGATTGATGGTAATACGGTGTTAATGGGTGTGTTTGCCTTCCATTTGTCAATAGCGTCGTCTAATAAACGATCGGTAGGACATATGAAGCCAGAAATAATAGAATTGTTAGATAATCTAGATGATACGAATGATGATAAGGATAAAGAATTAATTTAAATAGTTTATTTTAGAATTAGTCCTCACTTGGAATTAACAGTTTCAATTTACCAAAAACAATATTAAAGTCTTTTAACTGTGCTTTAGAACATATCGATGTAACTTGGTCTACAATCTCAATTGGTAAGCTACATAGTAGTGTCCTAACTTTAGATGAGTCTGACTCAATATGTCCTTCAAAGTATGTTTCTATTAAGTTAAGATAAGTCTCAGATAATTTTCCTGATAACTTGGGAAATTTAGGAACATATTGAGTGTGTGTAAGAGTTAATTTTTCGTCCATGATATAATTTTATTTGAGTAAAGTAAACTTTCAATATTTAAAATCGTAAAAGCAAAACATTGTAGTTCATTAAAATCAAATTTAAGTTGTCTAAAAATTTTAATTTTAATCAAGAGAATATGGTCCACCAAGTTTTAATAGTTTATCTATAAAAATTCTAATTCAAATTCGTAAAGAGGATTTAATCCACTAAGTTTCAAAATAATTTGTCTGTGAAAAATTTAATACTAATTCGTAACTAAGTTTTAGAAGGAAAATTAAAAAAATTTTATTGATATTCTATAGGTTAAACATCGCGTAAATTTATATTTAATAACGTAATATAGGGAAAATTTTCTTTACCCTATAAATATAGTATGTCAAATATGTAAAGCGTAAAGATATTTAAATTTTAATATTTAAATTTTAATATTTCGTAATTTCACAAGATATAAAAATAAAATTATTTTCATCAAAAATATAGGGCTTCCCATTTAGAGACATATAAGCATCAATCATCTTTCGTAAGGATTTGAAATAAAAGACAATTTCATTCGTTCTATTATCACGGACATAAGAAAATTCATTACATACTCCCATTTCTCTCAACATTTTATCAATAATAATGCATTGAGGTATATTATAAGCTTTAAAACAAAACATCATAACGTAAAAATTGAAAGATTTTGATGAAAAACTATTTTTTATCATATTACTCTTTTATTTATATATATATACTCTATTTTATTTTTTTATTTTTTTTACCTTTTATAATTTTGTAAATTTGGATAAAATTTTGACTATCGAAAAGAAAAGTCAAAAAATTTTATTTGTCCTTTTATCATCTCCCATATCGAACGACGAATTTGATAAGTAATTCCTTTACCTTTTATTTTTACAAAAGAATTCAAGGTAAGGATATTTTAAACTTTTATTATTTTACTTTGTTTTATTTTTTTTTTTAAAGAGAAAGAAAAACGAAAAAACGTACCACCGTAACCGGGAAACCATAAAATAAACTATTTAAATTAATTCTAAAATAAACTATTTAAAAAAAAGTTAATTTGAACATATTAAACAATCAACGTTAATATATTTTAAAAATAAATAATATTCAAATAAGACTAATCAACATTCCCCCTCTTCTACAAAGATCAAAGCTTCTTCTCAGCACTCATCGAGAGCTTGTTGTCCTAGAAGTTTTTCCTGTTTCGATTGTACTCGGTTTTATCTTGGCTAGCGCATAAGTCTCAAATGTTCTCGTAGGCTTGATTCTATCACGTAGGTTTGATAAAATCGTTTATTAGAGTTGCGTGAGTTTGTACGTTTTTTGTAGGCTTGATATCCTTATCGTATGTTGTTCACATTTCTCAAAATTGTTATTATCATGTTTCATAATTAATCCAATCGAATATTGGAATTTGGAATAAATCGGAATATGTAATTTGGAATAGTTGATCAAATCAAAAATATGAATAATATGCACGAATAAAATTTTGAATTTCGGAACAATAAAATATGTAATAAGGAATGATAATAATCGAAACAGGAAAAACTTCTAGGACAACAAGCTCTCGATGACTGCTGAGAAGAAGCTTTGTTCTTTGTAGAAGAGGGGGAATGTTGATTAGTCTTATTTGAATATTATTTATTTTTAAAATATATTAACGTTGATTGTCTAATATGTTCAAATTAACTTTTTTTTATATATATACTATGTTTTTAGATATAAAGAAATAATAATAAATTTGATTTAAAAAAGAATTAATTTAAATAGTTTCTTTTATGGTGTCCCGGTTACGGTGGTACGTTTTTTCGTTTTTTTTTCTCTTTGAAAAAATAAATAAAACAAAGTAAAATAATAAAAGTTTAAAATATCCGTACCTTGAATTCTTTTGTAAAAATAAAAGGTAAAGGAATTACTTATCAAATTCGTCGTTCGATATGGGAGATGATAAAAGGACAAATAAAATTTTTTGACTTTTCTTTTCGATTGTCAAAATTTTATCCAAATTTACAAAATTATAAAAGGTAAAAAAAAATAAAAAAATAAAATAGAGTATATATATATAAATAAAAGAGTAATATGATAAAAAATAGTTTTTCATCAAAATCTTTCAATTTTTACGTGATGATGTTTTGTTTTAAAGCTTATAATATACCTCAATGCATTATTATTGATAAAATGTTGAGAGAAATGGGAGTATGTAATGAATTTTCTTATGTCCGTGATAATAGAACGAATGAAATTGTCTTTTATTTCAAATCCTTACGAAAGATGATTGATGCTTATATGTCTCTAAATGGGAAGCCCTATATTTTTGATGAAAATAATTTTATTTTTATATCTTGTGAAATTACGAAATATTAAAATTTAAATATTAAAATTTAAATATCTTTACGCTTTACATATTTGACATACTATATTTATAGGGTAAAGAAAATTTTCCCTATATTACGTTATTAAATATAAATTTACGCGATGTTTAACCTATAGAATATCAATAAAATTTTTTTAATTTTCCTTCTAAAACTTAGTTACGAAAGGAGCCATCGTGAAAGTAAAATTTAATGATTTCATACATTAAAGATATCTGATAACTTTATCATGGATTTAAATCCTTAAGCCAGAACTCAAGGCACATTCTCATGTTGGGTATATGTGCCTTATTATCGTATTAAATCTATTGATTCGTAGAGTTAGGTAAAGCCACACCTACTACCAATTTTGTTTGGTTTAAAATTTTTTATCTCTATTTTCGCACTAGCAATATTCAAGATGGTTGTCAAATGGTTACCCCTAATTAATCATCTGCAAGAGTGCAGTAAAACTTAATTAACCTTGAATGGACCTATGAACAGTTTATTTGAAGCTTCTTCTGTTCTTTTTTTAGTAAACGCGTTATCTTAGAGCGGCATTGTCACAGCTGATTAAGTTTAAAAAAACAACTAATTTAAGATAAAGCCAAAATAGAGATAATTATTATTTTATATAAGATTTAAGAAGATCAACGCGTCGTAACATATGTTTTTTTTAAATTTTATCATAGCGTTATAATCATAACGCTTTATACCTATTGGCTTAATTTTGTAATTCCGCGTTAATTAACCCAACGCTTAAAGTGTAACGCGTTTTCTATAAACGAGGCCCTTAATCATATTATTTTGTTCAAATTTATATATTCTTAAGTAACAGGTGTATTAATTTTTAAAAAAAAAACTAATTAGAACCAAGTGAAATAGACGAATCACGGATCATAGCTCATCCTTATTATTCGATCTATTACGATCGTTATTTAGCATCCACGGGTTCGGTCACCTCTGCTCGAGCAGCAGCGAAGGCGGCCGCTCTTGCAGCTATAACCCTAGAAAAACCGACGCATATGGATCCCGGACCAGCTTTAGAGAAGATGGAGCTTGACCAAGGTAAAAACTTAAATGAATACGTTCGATAATTTAAAGTAGGTATAATAAAAAAAGGTTAAACATTATAATTATAGATTCATCAAATAGTAAGCGAAAAATAATAATATATTAAATTGAGTGATTTATTTTATTTTTCGATACTTAATTAATTGTATCTTTTAAAATGAAGCCTACTTTCAACCCAACCCTCTGCAAGCTCATTTGCCTAATAATGGTTATGAGCCTCATCAACCTATAATTAGCAACAGCTACAACACTAGCCACCCCATCTTAGTTGAACCTCGAAACCCTTTGGTAATTCGTGTCACGAATGTTTCATCACCCGGGTTTAATCGGACCGGTGGCGGAATGAAACCGAATACCTCTTTTGCAGAATACGGTAACCAACTGGACTCAAAACCGAAATCCGTTTTCGATAGGCTGGGCTCGAATAACTCTCACCACCTGATTAACAGGAGCTATGACCACCATCTTCCAATTAGTATTCCCAATGCGAATCTCGGTAATCAGCTGATCCATAATCAGCTGTTAAATAATCGATTGCCGCCACCTATGCCTAGAGGAGCCATGAATAATATCAATCTCAGTAATTTTAATAACGACATGAGAGCCAGGGCAGCTGGCAACCGGTTTGGTATTCGGTTAAGGGCTGGTCCTCCACCACCTCTATTGCTCAACGTCATTCGCAACGCTATTTTCAAGTATGTATCTTAAAATTTGCAAATAGTTTCATGATGGCAAATATTTAATTGCAATATTTTATATCATTTATATAGCCAAAGAAGACCATCTCCACGTTCTTCGCATTTTAATAACAAACCACCGCCATTGATGTCAATCAACCCACTTCACGCTCATGTGAATGCCCACGGAGACTTCGAGGCCGCCAATCAGAACGGGGAAAGCGTGGCGAACGTTTTTGTCCTCTTTGGGATTGAACCTTCGCAGTTCAATTGTCGCGCCATTTTCAATCTGTTTTCTGCCTTTGGGGTCGTCTTGAAGGTTAGAGCATTAAATTCGAAATTAAATAAATTTATACATATATACGTAAATGTAATTAGCCCAATTCCGAATCGGTTTTCAATTGCTCTGACTCAGTTGCGCATTTAGGATTTTTATTCTGGGGGGGGGGGAATCAAAAATTAATAAAATCTTATTTTTGAGGGAATGCTGGGATTATCAAATGCCTCTTTATCCTCCCCCCCATCCCCCATAAACACGCCACTGCCATATTTTTTATGATATTATTATGATGTCTTTTTTTTTTGATTTACAAAAATGTTGGTTTATAAAGGAATTAATTCTGCACTTAATAGTAACTATAAAAATATTTAAGAAATCACTTTGATAAATATTACTTTTTCTATTTTTATCTTATCCGCGGGCTAAATATATTTTCTTTTTATTGGATGAAAATTTAAAGAGAAATGAATTTTTGTTAACGAATTTATTTGACAGTTATTTATACATTAAAACGTGGATGCTAACGATTTGTTATCTCTATTTAAACCTTTACTTGCTTTCTTTTTGCGTTTACGAAACACTTGTTAAAATTTTATTTTAATAATTCTTGTAACGTTTTAAAAAATTAAATTATATTCATGAAGAAAAAATAAATATAATTTTTGAGAAATCATATATATATGAAAAGAAGTTATTTTGTAAAAAAATTAATTCCTATTCTATCCCAAAATTTTATCTTTAAAATCTTCTCACAAAAAATACATTATACGCGTTCTATGCTTAAATGCTTTCAATATTATAATAAAATATTTTTATATCATTTTAACCTATCAATTATAATGTAATCAATTAACATTTTTATATAAAACAGGTCACGACAATTATAATATTTAAACTAAAATTCGATTTTTTTTTAGCTGGGTTCGGGTTTGACTGGACGAAAAAAATTACTTGAAAACGGGCTCGGTCACAAGATTTTTTAGAGATCGGGCTAGGATCGCCAAAAAAATCTCCTATATATATGAATTCTAAATCTGAGTTTGATTTTGCTCACAAACGTAAGATTTCTAAGGTTAAGATTATATATCGGACACTATAAGCTTATTCAAGATTTTTTAGGGGGGGAGAGGGCCTTCATTTTTATTTTACCACAAATTTTATCGAGTAATGTTATAGTGCAAACGAATTGAGCGTTTACGTTTTGCCATTTGTTTAATGATATCCGTCGATTTCAAAATTTTAAATAAATTCTAAAAAAAAAGGGATGTGTCTTCGAAAATTATATTATCGTCTGCCTTCTCATTTCTTTAATTTTATAAATATTCCTTTCTTTAGGATTATAAGTAAGTTATTTACATTTTGTAAAAAAATGGTTGCTAACGCCAAACGGTAATTTTTACTAATTTGCACGAGGCCATTTTGAAATGCATTATTCGCGCTTGCAACGCAGCGTTCGAAACGCTCAATTTGTGCACATTATTAGGCTCCCTAATTTCTCGCATATTTTACATGATCGTTAGTTTGTTTTTTTTTGATAGGGATAGATTCTTTTATCTCAAAATAACATTTGCCAAACCAGACAAATTTGTTTATTGTTTAAAAGAGTGTGGATTCCCCCCCCCCCCTCAAAAAAAATTATATGCTAGAAGATAGATTGCGTTTTTCATTTTTTATTTTGCGAACTAATTATTAGATAAGAAAGTCTGGTAGCAAAAAAATTTTGGGTTACGGCATTGAGAACTACTTTCTTTATGAGGCAATTATGAATAGACATTTTATGTTAAGAATAGAATTAACCCAATCATTCATGTCTAGCAATTACAATTAGGGACCATTTAACCTCACCCTTTATAAGATGTCGCAAAGAAGATTTCATCTTTTTGATGCTAGGGAAAACACTTGTAAAAACTAAAAAAATAATAATTAGGGCAACTAGAATTTGGCATTTTTTTTTCACAAGTTTATTATTTTATCTGTGGGTTGTATGAGATGTACCCGACATGCTAGGTGCCTTACATTGGCATCTATTCGTTTCTGCAATTTTTTTTGCAATGACAGCGGTCAAATCCTTTCCCGATTCTTTTTGAAGAACGTGTCGCAACGCGAATTCGCGGCGGTAAACGCAAAAATACAAGGCGTATTTTGTGAATTCGCGCTAACCGCGAATGCAGTTCATCATGTTTATTTCCGCTTCGTTCTTGGCGAATCGTCTCCAGAACCGAAAAGTTTCCCTTTCACCCTACTACACAATCAATCTATAAAATAAATTAATAGATTTATAATCTTGAAAGATAAAATAAAATATGAACGTATTATTCAAAAATTTTCCAATTATCGCCCCAAAGGTCAAATTTCTTCGCAACCACCCTGACCGGGCCGTGATCGAGATGAGGGACTCAACCACGGTTTCCCGTATGCTGAACCAAAACGTCTTGAATAGGCATATGCCCCCGCTCTGCTTCGATACCACGACGCCAGCTCACGATAAGGATCAAAAGTGAGATGATTGAGAAGAATCTAGGAAAAATTTTTCCCCCCGGAATTACAAAATTAATAAAATAGGGGGGAAAAAATATATCCATTGGATTGAAGATCCTTAAATAATATATTTAAAATCAATACCGGACCATTATTTTTCTAAGAATTATGAGAGAGAGAGAGAGATTTTGTTAGTTTAGGATTTGTTTGCACAAAAGTCGAATAGAGTTGATGAAACTCAGTAAAGATTTTAAAGAAAAAAACAGGCCTAGAATTAGGGCCAGGTTAATATTAGATTACTGACTCCATTTTCCCTTTAAAATTTATTAGGCTCAAAACTTTTTTCCTCAAAATCGGACCCGCCAAAAAGCCCTTCGACAGCCCTGACCCCGTTATAGTTGCGTCCTCTTACAAGGCCTCGTTGGATATCAGGGCGAAGCTAGAAATCAAGGACGAAAATAGCCTACTCGACGGGACACCGATTTGCGTGGAAGATTTCTCGGTTCTGGATATAAGGTGAATAATATGCTTTTGCTATGATCTAACTTAGGACAATCCCCCCCCCCCCTCCCACCACTCCTACCCCCCCAAAAATGACTTAAACTTCTAAGTTGAGCCCTCAACTTGAAGATTTGGATAAATATTATTATGATTAAAAACTTGCCTAAGCCTTTTTAGAATTAGCCAAAAGGTAGGTGATTTAACAGCACTCGATAGTATCGCGGAACAAACCCTTCTTTGCCTTTAGATAAGTCGGGATTGTGCCAAAAAGCCCGCCAACTCTTTATTTTTTTACCACGCCTCCTGCCTACCCATGTTTTTTTTCTTAAAAATTTACCCGCCAATTTATCTAAAAATTGTTTAGCTCCCTTTCCTCTAAACTTTCGTTTAAAAATTATATTGAACCAGCTGATTAGGGGTGGGGGTGGGTCCTTATTTATTTTAATATATTTTTTTAACTTATAGAAATATTTCTCTATTACGAAATAAGTATTAGAGGTCTGTCCGCCATTTTTTTAAATATTTAAAATTTTTTTTAGAAAATCCAAACTCGCCCACCTGCGACCATTTTTTTTTATCAGAAAAATATTATAATTTAAATTTTAGACGAATACCCAAACAGCTGGCCGAGTTCGTCCACCAACAAACACCCCCTACCATCTTGCCCTCGTCGTCTATCCTATTATCTTCCTCTTCCCCTCACCAGAAATATTGCATGGGAGTATCCGACAGTTTTCCCACCGGCAAATTGCTAATCTGTAATTTGCCGCAGGGTATAGGAATAGAGAACGTGTTGGAGCTTTTTGGCGGTAATTTATTTATAGTTTTTTATAAATATTTTACTCCTCTTTTTCCTTGGTATCATATATCATTTACCAGTGATGGTAGATTTTTAAGTTAGCGTTTTCTTAAGCCTCGGACTAAATGGCGATTTTTTAATACTGAATTTTATACGACATTTTTTTAAATGTACAGGTTTTTTTGGTAGTATAATATGCTGAAAATAAGAGAATATTTTGAAAGATAATGGTATAAGCCTTAAAAATGTAATGACCATATTATTACGATGTTCATTTGTAGATATTCCAAAAGTTAGCACCGAAAACGTGGTAAATTCTGTTATCAACGCCAAACCATCGAAAATTTTATTGACTGACGGAGATCAATTTTTTGAACACGTAAAAGATGGCGTCTCCGAGACCGAACCCATCCTTTGGTAAGAATTAGTAAACTTGCAAATTATTTAAATGTGTTTAAAATCATTTCTTTTTTTTAAAAAAAAATCCATTCCAAAGGGATCAGACGAAAACGGCTCTCAAGAATATTTCCGAATCTTACAATGTTATGGCCCTCCAAGGTTGCATTAAATTTTATACAAATTTCGGACCTTCAAAAATTAGGAGTGTACCGATACCACTTTTTTGGAGGTCGATATCCGATCCGATATTCCCGATATCAAATTGATATCGACCCGATCAGATCCGATATGAAATATCGGCACATCCCTATTTTAAATAGTGTTGTTAAACTGAACGATTTGAGCCGATTATTAAAATGGCTAACTCGATATTTTAGCCAGGAAAATGTTGTCTAAGCCTCAAAATTTTGTTAATAGATGTCAAAACTTTTGGTTATCCATAAGCAAAAAGTTTTTAGGCGACAAATGAATTATACCTGTTGTATTTATAATATTACTAGTGAAGGTCACGGTTCGGACCGAACCTATGCACTCTAACCGGACCTGGCCGCGGACTTTAAAAATAACGATCCAGAACCGTATTTTAAAAATATTTTTGGTTTTTACCCCAATTTAATTCTTGCTTATTCGGACTATAAAGTAAAAAAAAAACATGCATATTTGTGACAAACATATATTCAAAATAAAAATAAACTAAAAATTCGCAAATACTAAAATAACTCCCCTAGAAAAATAGGCACAAAATTTAAATATACCAAAAAAAGAGAAAAGTTATATTAATCGAAGTGTAAAGCAAACTTAAAAGGTCTTAACCGGAAAATTAAAAAGATCGGTTTCGGGCTAAGACCGATAGGGCCGGAATGTTGACCTTCACTATTGTACATTCGAAACGGCCCGGTTCATGTAAGCATCGAGATTTGGCAAATAGATGTCCAAGCATTTTCCGGCCTGCTACCAGCAAATCTTTAGGCTCTGATAATGGGCTTTTTTACATCACCACTTATTGTATACCGATTAATAAAAAAAATTAATAATGTATTTTAAATTTATATTTTTTTTATTTATATTTTTTTTTAAAATAAAATAGATGAAAAAATTTTGAAATCCGCTTGCCAAACAGCCTTAGCCGAATTCGATTCCATATCGGACGCCGTTAAAGCGATTTGTCTCACCAATTTCACCCTTTTGCCGGCTCCCAAAGATATCGGAGATTTTACTAATGGTTTTTTAATAGTTTTTTTTAGTTTTTTTTAGTTTTTTTTTAAAATTAAAATTTAATTTTTCTCTATCGAAACTTGTAGGGGGTTTTTTTTATTGGTAGAGATTAAGCTTATCCTATTTTGTACATATTTACACTCGTTTTTTTTAAAAAAAAATCAACAAATTTTAGGATTGCCTTTAATAGAAAACCAAGATAAAACTTTTATGAACATTTTTTTTCCCCCAATGAAATACATTTTAGGATCGTTTTTCGACTCGATTATCAGCATAGTTGAGTAATAAGATCAATTTTTATCTGAATCAGGGGGTTTTTTTTTATCTAGAAATGATTAAAAAAAGAATTGTTTTTCGGAATGGCCCTATAATTTTAGCTTTACTCGATTATAGTCATCAGTGAGGAGGTGATTGCGCGTGTCATAGAATATTTTCCACGATAGGCGGACATTGCTTAACTGTCATGCTTAAGTTGTCGGAATATTTACGTTCTTTTTTTTTTATACATATCCCCTATATTATATTTATTATGAACTAGGAGAAGGCGAAGAAGAAGCTAAGACCACGTATTTCCTTGTCAAAATGTTTTTTTGGTCTGACCAATTAAAATTAGGAACGGATTCGAATTTCAATTCTCCCCGAGGAATCAAGAGAAAATTTTGAAACATTTATATTTATATATATTAATATGTTGTAATTTATCAAAGTATTTCTTCTTTTTTTAGTTACATTTTTTTCATCCTAATATTAGAATTATAAATGTAATAATCGATTAGATCTTTTAATGTGTATTATGTGTGTATATATATATATAGGGCTCGAATTTTGTATTTATAATAACCTTATATTTTTTTATTATATAATAACAATAAAAAGGATTTTTTTTACTGTATTATTTTTTATTGACTTATGTTTAAACTGTGATATTTACATTTATGCGATCCTTATGCTATATGGCGATAGTAACTAGTGCGGTTACATCACAAATCTCTAGACCCCCCCACCCCCTTCCCCCCACCCAAATCGGCCTAGTCAATATCTTAAAAAAATTAACCACAATCATTAAAGCTGTGGCTTCGTCTTAGAAGTTTATCTTGGAATAGGCAAAAGGTTTAGATAATTTAACACTGATGCTTATTAGACCGAGGTAAAGACCTGGATGGAGGTGCAGCTATATTTAATTTGTGACAATTTGTTTTTTTTTCTGATATGAATTGGATATTATGTGCTGAGTTTATCCAGTAAACTCAAACTGGTAACTAAAGGGTATCGGGAGTAGCTATGAGTATCTATTTGATTTTAACCAGGATAGTAAATCCATATATAATATCATTTTGTTTCAGTAGAAGGCGTGAAGTAAATTACCTGACCTTCCTGATTCCAGAACTTGCCCGATCCCACCCAGATCCATCTCTAAATCCCCCCTCATCCGACTAGATAATGATGCAGGAGCTCGCTATCATGCTAAAATAATGCATACTATGTATGCTGTCTAAAACAACTCCCTATGAGTCCTTATTTAAAATTTTATTGATATTTTTTTAACTTATAATTAAGTAAGACGAATCTATCGTAAAATGAAGAGAAGAGTTTATTTTGTAATACATTTTTTTTGTTACATAAATTTTTTATAAAGTTCTCTTAAAAATGAATTGCGTAAAGAAATAATAATATTCTTTTCAGTCCATCATTTAGGTTAGTTGTCATCATCTCCATTTTCATCATCTTCATATTCATCATCTTCTCCATCAGAATCTGCTTTCGAAGATAAAATGAATAAATTAGATTAAGGAATGAGAATGACAGACTTCATCACTGTTTATGGGAAGTGCTAAAATCTTAAACTTTTTTGGAACAAAATTTAAAAAGGAAAACCAGGTTAAAAAAATTAAAACTTAGAAGCATCCTCTTCAGATCTAAGCGCTTGTAATTTAAAATTTTAGCAAATTAAAACTTAGAATTTTTGAAACCTTATTTTCTGTTTTTCTATTCATTAATTTCTCTCGTTTTTTAAATTTATTTTTTCTCTTTTCTTTTCTTCTTCTATTCCCTATTTATTTTTTTCTCTCCTTGTTCCAAGTGAAAGATGAATTTTTCTAACCTTAAATTCTGCGATAGTTCTAGATCATAAAATTTTATTGGTGCAGTGAGTTAGTATTTTAGCAAGCTCTTATTTTTATATATGTTAGCTGGAATTGCGTTTTTTTCCGGAAATGTGTTATTTTTTTTTAAAATTCCTGATCTCACGGGAAATGGATTCCATTATGCTTGACAACTACCTTATGAAAAATTTTACGATGAACTTTTGAACTTACATAAATTTTTCATATAAATTTTAAATGACTCTAAGGTTAACGATAAAATTATCTTATAATTCCTAATATAGGTATTCGAAACATGCTGGAATTACATTTTCGGTAAAATCATAATTTTAAATCATAAAGAAAACGTGCTTCAAAATATGATTTTAATTTGAAAAAATAATAGCACATTGTCTCTAACGTATACACAGTGTTGTTAAAATTACCTAACTTTGATCATCTCTATTGTGGCTTAAGTCAAGCTTTTAGCCTAAATAATTGTTTTAAGTCTATAAGTTGAGCCTCAAGTTGAAGATTTGATTGGAATATTTTTGGTTAAAAACATGGCTACGCTGTTTTATAGTTGACTATAAAGTTAGGTAGATTTAACGACACTTCATATACATATACAAAATTTGATTATTTTTGTAAAACTTTAAAAAAATAAATTATTTTTATTTTAACTTATATTTTTTACTTATTATTCCATCTTGGGTTGTGCATTCTTCCTCTGGTTCCTTGGTATCTTATTTTTGTTTTTTTCCCACAATTTATATTAAACATATTTTTTTTAAAAAAATGTGAATTTTAAAAAATAAAAGATTATTTTTCTTTCTTTCTTTCTTTCTTTCTTTCTTTCTTTCTTTCTTTCTTTCTTTCTTTCTTTCTTTCTTTCTTTCTTTCTTTCTTTCTTTCTTTCTTTCTTTCTTTCTTTCTTTCTTTCTTTCTTTCTTTCTTTCTTTCTTTCTTTCTTTCTTTCTTTCTTTCTTTCTTTCTTTCTTTCTTTCTTTCTTTCTTTCTTTCTTTCTTTCTTTCTTTCTTTCTTTCTTTCTTTCTTTCTTTCTTTCTTTCTTTCTTTCTTTCTTTCTTTCTTTCTTTCTTTCTTTCTTTCTTTCTTTCTTTCTTTCTTTCTTTCTTTCTTTCTTTCTTTCTTTCTTTCTTTCTTTCTTTCTTTCTTTCTTTCTTTCTTTCTTTCTTTCTTTCTTTCTTTCTTTCTTTCTTTCATTCTTTCTTTCTTTCTTTCTTTCTTTTTTCTTTCTTTCTTTCTTTCTTTCTTTCTTTCTTTCTTTCTTTCTTTCTTTCTTTCTTTCTTTCTTTCTTTCTTTCTTTCTTTCTTTCTTTCTTTCTTTCTTTCTTTCTTTCTTTCTTTCTTTCTTTCTTTCTTTCTTTCTTTCTTTCTTTCTTTCACACTGTATATAATTAAATTTTATATAAATGAATAAAATTATTAATTTAACCCTAGTCTTATGATTTACATTAATTTATAAATATAAGGTTACAATTAATTATAAAAGTTAACGGGTACTCGTTACATTTATCCCCCCAAAAATGTAACTTTTTATAAGTCGAATAAATAGAATAAACAACGTTCCATTTGTAATGCCCAATTCTCCAGTTACAATTACGGAAATTTTTACTTAATTCAAATTACCATATATAATATATTTGCATTAAATTTTAACTGTTATAAACATAAATTAAACATCAATTTTTTTTGCAATAATCATTTTTACAGTTTCTTTTTCAAATAATAATAATTAATCAAAATAACTTTTTCGAAATTACATCTGTTAAAGATGAAATTATTTACATTAACGAGGAATACAACATAAACTGGAAATTTAAAATTGTTTGGTTAGGCATTTTGAAACCATAGTTACAGACAGAGACCGATTAGGGGAACTCATTAATCCCGGGGTATAATGGACCTAATCGGTTTCGATTAAGTTCCCGTAAACAAAATTTCCATTAAATGAAAATTTAAAATTCTTAATTCCGGGCTCGAGTTCATATCCCTGACATAAACACATTCATAGTACTCTTAAGTGGAATACTGGAAGATTATTTATCTTATTTTACAATAAATATTACCATCATTTGTGACGTTAAAGCTTCCTAGATGATCCCGATCTCTGTCATTCTTCCATTCCCCAATCGACAGTGGTTTAGCTATAATATTTTTAAACAATTTTTTTTTTTTTTTTTAAAATTTAACATTGGTCGCCATATTTATGCTTTAAGAAAAATATAATAAACTAATATTTTATCTTAATTTCAAACTATATCAAATTCTCAATTCGCCTTACCCGTTTAAACTTAACTTTAGATACGTTATAATAAATTTATCAATGAAATTGCCTTTTTTTATTCACCTATTCAGTTTGACCTTTCCAGTTAAAAAAAAAAGCTTAATTTTTATAATTTTTTTTTACAAATAAACTAAATTTTATTTTTCCTTCAAAAAATAAAATAAATGTGAAAATAAAATTACATAATTTCTCTTTTTTTTCTAAAAAATAACAACTTTTTATTAATAATTCTCACCCTGACTCCTAATGGATAACGCCATTACTATTGCTAAGAATGCTAAGAAATATTTTAAGATCTTCATAATTTCTAAGAAAATAAATTTTTTCCTTCTCTTCTCTTCTCTTTGAAATAATAAAATATTTTAATATTATCGAAAAAAAAAACAAAATATAAAAGTTAAAATTTTTTTTTTAAAATAAGCTTAATAAAGATTAATTTTTTATCACAGGTTGGCAAAAAGCCATTAATTTTATTTTTTTTGAACAAAATAACCAGTAATTAGTAATTTTAAATTCAAGGAAATTAAGAGAAAAATAACTTAATTTTTGTTTTCCTTCAACTACAAGATATTGGTTAAAACCTGTTATTTTCTTATCATTTTTTGAAAAAATAAAATAAAATAAATAATTCATACTTAACAAAGAATTCGTATTGTAATTATTAACAAAAGTTATATTACAATGTTTAAGTCAGGCTATGAGTTATAAAGTCTAGAATTCGTGATTGACATTTCGAAGGAGGAAGGAGGGGGGGGATAATCGAAAGAGACCCTTATCGTTTAGATTTTCCTAGATGACGGTTATAACCTAAATTCGCTATGATTGTCATTGACTGCTTTAGTCAGGTTTATAAGTAAAAAGACACAGGCTTCATATTTTCTCTTTTTGTAACGTATAAGCTAAATTTCATTTCTTAATGGATGCGATAATAGCAAAAAAAAATACGCTGATTTTATTTTCTTGGCCCACGGGGAGTCAAACCCGGCTTCAAGAAAAAAAAAAGATTTGAAAATGATTTGGTAAGAAACATTTTGCGAACGTGGACCAAACAATCCGGGGTATCTTTGGTCCATGGCGTGTTCGAATCCAGATTGCAACCCGCAATGAAGTCAAAAAATTTCTGAACCAAAATTTAGATTTCAGGGAACTCTCGAACTTGACTAAGTAAACTTATTTTATCATCCAAAGCATGTTGCAAAATAAAAAAAATCTTTAAAGGTTAGAAGATTTCTGACAAAGAGGGGGGGGGGATTAAATGGCTTTTAAATTATTTGCCTTTAGTAGGTTACGCATTTTAGATTAAGCGTTGTCAGCCAGCGCCGATTTTTTTAGCGGCATCAGTTTTCCAGGGCCCTAGAAGGAGTCTTTTTATCATATGGTTGATGCATTGATTACGGGTATAACACGTGAAACAACGTGATCAACGTCTGGAAGAAGAGTTTTTTCAAGAGAATTCGCGATTTTTACGAATTTTTGAAAGATAAAACTAACAAATATTTTAAAAGGAAGTTAAATACAAATTTACAATGGTATTTCCGGGTTCTTTCAAAAAATTAATCGAGGCCAAAATTAGAGATAATAATTACTTCCTTAACCTTTCCCTTTGATAAAATTACTTAATTTGTTATTATTTTTTTGTGTTTTAATTTCAAGACTTATTTCAAATATTTTATTTCGATATATTTTATAAAAAAATAATATTTTTAAAAGAAGAGAAGAAGAGAAAAAAAAAATATTATTTTCAAAAAAAATACTTAAATTGAAGAAGAATATTAAAAAATAAAATAAATAAAATGATCTTTACGCAGTTTTTGACATTCCTGACAATCGTAATGGCACTGTCAATTAATCAAGGTGAGAATTATTTTTATAGCCTGAAATAACTAATCTTATAAAAACTTTTGATTTCTTTCTTTTCTTTTCTTTTCTTTTCGTCATAATGCATCAGATAAGGCAAATATGAGCTTTATTTCAACTGTTATTAGAGCACACTATTGTTTCATTATATTTATAAGGGAAAAATATAATCCAAATTCTATAAAAATTTCCAGTTTACTAGGAACTTAAAAGAGGGGGAGGGGGTGTTCTCTCGCCATTGATATTTAATAAAAGGAATATATTTTCTTTTCTTACTTTAAAGTTAATTAAATAAGCAGTCAAAGTCGGTAAAATGTTTATTTAAAATTATTATAGCTAAATCACAGTCTAACGGGAATTGGAAGAATTACAAGGATTGGATTAAACGAGGATATCGAAAGGCTGAGATTGATAGTAATATTAATTGTAACGCATTTTAATTTTATTTTAGCCCTGTAAAGTAACGATAAGTATCTTTATTCAATATTTTTCTTTACATTTCTAAAGCGCTCTAGACTACCCCCCCCCCCCTTCTCTTTCCTAGACCCTAATGAAGCTGATTCTCCTTCTACAATGATTAATTAAATTAATGAAATAGATAATGGGCACCCCCAGAAGTACCCCCGATATTTTAATGACGTAATTTATTCCTACCCCCTGGCCCATTTCATCTATCGAGTTAAATTGCTTTATTAATATGTCAAATTTTATATCATTTATTGGGCATGAATTGCAGAAAATGTCAAAAAATAATTATTTTAAGAAGGATTTTTGGAGAATAGAAAATGTGATAACTTTGCAGATATCAATTATTAAATATTTCTTGTTGAAGTCGATAAATGACTATATTCTAAACAATAATCTTAGTATAAAGATAATACGTTACTTCTTTAAAATAAAGTAACTGTAATTCCATATTAACAAAAAATCATTTTTACGAAAAGTAGCGATAAGATAATAAGTTACTTTAAAAAAAGTAACGTTTTACAAATATTTCCTTTTTTTCTATAATTTTATTATTTTTTCTTTTCCTTTTTTTGTGTAAAATTTATTTCTTAATTGAATAAAATAATAAAAGGATAAAAAAATAATTTTTTAAAAAGAAGAAGTTAATAGAAAAAAAAGAATGAAGGAAAAATGAATGGAAAGAAGAATGAATAAAAAAAAATATTTAAAATTTTAAAAATTTATTTATTAAATTGCAAAAAATAAAATAATGTCAAGGGTCCCTTATTGAAGAACCAGTGGAAGAAGTCATCATCGATAGCGAAAACGGGAACATATCTAATAGTAGAAAAAAAAGAAGAAAATATTTTATTTTTATCGAGGAGTTAAAAATAAATATCCAATTATTATTATTTTTTTCGCTATTTAGGTAAAAATGGTCGCTAAAGTTGTCAGCTGTTTTTAAGCGTAAAATCAAGAGCTCCTAGTTATATTAACTATTTACCCAAATAAAAATTTCAGAAATCTAAACGGAATAAGGCTGAAAACATTTAGGAAAAAAAAAATAGGAAGGAAAGAATAAAAATAAGAATAGAATAGAATAGAAAAAAAAGGAAGAAATAAAAAATGAAAGAAATAAAAAGAAATGATATAAAATAAAAAGAAATTTTTTCAAAAAAAATTAAATTCTAAATATTTTCATATAAATTACAAAGTAGACCTTTTTAAAGGTTGAGATAAATAACTATGATAAATTAAGTGATAACTGACGAGTGAGTTGATAATCCATTCATTCATTTATTTATTAATTTATTTATTAAATAAATAAATAAAACAAAAAAAAAATAAAAAAAAAAATTTATTTATTTATTCATTCATTCATTTTATGTTTTTTTATCTTCGAAAGCAGCTACCGATCCTGATAAAGAAGATGATGGAAATGCGACCGATGTCACTCTCTCAGCAAATAATTCTGATAAAGAATTCGACGGAAATGTGACCAATGTCACTCTCTCGACAAATAACTCTGATGAAATAATATTTTCTAAAAAAAAATGACAAATGTTTTTCAAACGAATTGTTTTTTCCTTCATATAAACTTTAAATTTAATAAATTAAAAGCAAAAAAAAAATTTCACATTGTGTTTAAAAAAAAAATAAATAAAGAAAACTAAACTCCTTCCAATAACCCTTTAAGCAAAACTATTTAGTTAAGGTTCCTAGCAACTATTCTAAATGTTTGAAGGGCTTCCACCTTTAACAGGCCGTGTGAGCTAGTGTTGTTAAACGGGTAACTCAGTAATTTAACCAGAAAAAAATATTATTACGCTAGCCTAAAGATTTTGCTCATTAGATGGTGCACAAATAAAAGTCTAGATATCTATTGGCCCAAATTCTGGAGGCTTATAAAGCGATTTTTCTTTTCTCTGGGCTTTCAATATAGAGTTAGCCGTTTTTCAATAGCGTCTCAAAACGAGGTGTTTAAACAACCAATATAGGCGTAACTTATAAATTTAAAAATCAAAATTCGATGAAAAATAAGACCCTTTTTTTATTAAAGGCATGAACAAAAAAAGAGAAATATGTATATAAAATATAAAACAGAATTTTCCTTCCTTTCTCTTATTTTTTTAAAATAATAATAAATATATTTCTATTTAATTTAAAAAAAAAAATGTTTCAATCACGGAAAAAATTTATTTTCATGGTTTATTCGTTTTAGTTTACCTTTGCTCTGTGCATTTCTATACCCTTCCTTGTTATGTGTGATCTCTTTGTTCCACGCGATCCCTTTGCTTCATTTGCATTTCTATACCATTCTTGGCTAAATGTGATCTCTTTGCTCCGTTTGCTTTTCTCTATACCCTTATTGGCTCTACCTGATCTAATTTTGTTTTTAAGTGAATTCTTTGCTCCTGTTGCATTTCTATGCCCTTCTTGGTTATACATGATCTTCTATTGCTCTTTTATAAGGTACAATGATTTAGCTTAAACCCTAATACATATTCGCTATTATTTCTTTTTTAAACGAACATTTAAAGCTATATGCTAAGTACCCATATCCAGTAGTGTCACTATAATATGGAGGGGGTAGCGCGCATGGGCTTGAGCCCCTCTGAAAATTTATTTTTGAGCCCCCCCCCCCTCATTGAGATTGTCAAGGCCAATGACGCCCATATCCGTATCATCTGTTCATACTTACCCTTGTTATTGGTTACTGGCTATTTCTAGGTTCTCATTAGTTGTTCCCTTAAAAATCAAAAATTTTGTATGAAATTTTATATATACTATAAAAAAATATATATAAGTGCCATAAGGATTGGTGGATTAATGGGATCCGGAAGAAGAAAGGGTTCGCGTATTACTTACGTTTTTTTTCTTAGGGAGTCATATAAGTGAGATTACCTTATGATAGATATACCGATAACCAAATAAATATAATTTTTACTTGTTTCGATCGCTCACAACTTAAAACACTTTCAACGCCCATGGAATTTGAATCCACAAAATACTAAATTTTTTTTCCGAATTAATTGACACTTATCACTTTTATTTGTCATTTTTGTATAAATATCGATATAACAATACACACCAGAGATCTGAGCTCAACTCGCACCCGGGCCAATCCGGGCCCGGTTAACGGGTTTCTAAAAAATATCGGGCCGGGTCTGGTCTTTAAAAATATATCTAAATTTATCAACTTTATGTGTTATTTTTTTTTATGTAAAATAAAAATAATGTGATTTTATTTATAAAAAACTAGACGCTATACACGACATATATCTATTTTGGGTAATTATTATATTTAAATAAATTCGGGCCAGGCCGGTTTTAAAAAATCGCACACCTTTTTTAAAAAAAAATTTCGGGCCTGGTCGGGATTGAAAAATACAAATGTAACCGATTCAATTATATAATGATATTTTTGATCGATTTTCCTCACGCTTTAACCTTAGATCTTATTATTTTTTTTTAACGATTATTATCGTGTTATATAAATTTGCGACATCTTCCATGCCAAATATAATTTCCACGTGGAAAAACATTTTTTAGTTCCGTCACAAACTCTCTCTCTGTTTTTTTTACCCCAATCAGCAATAAACTGTTAATGATAGGGATGCATTTCCCTCTACATACTATATTAATAAGTTTTCTGCTGCCAGGTTTTATTGCCAATATAAATTGGCAAAATTGGGAATCTATTGTTTTTAAAACTCAATTTTTTTGGTAGCGGCAAGCGTGTTTCACTCGCGTGCCTTAAATTTAATTTTATCCTATGCCTCAAATATGATCCTTGGGGGGGGGGGGTTAAAGTATAGTGGGTTTTTTTGAGCCCGTATATAAAAAAAAAATAGGTTCATTTTTGCAAGCGCCCATTAAGAGTGACACACTTTTCTTAGCATTTTTCATCACGTGGTTACTCCTTCCAGAACGTTCTTTTCCTGATTAAAAGTTAGATAATATACTAATATTTTTTACCTTATCACATTTTGTTTTAAAAATTTTAATATTCGCCTCATTATTTTTGACAAACAAATAAAATTTTTATGCTAGCCACCTTCTCTTATCCATTACTTTTTCCTGTATTTTTAAAATTCTTAATATTTTGTTACTTTTAAATTAAGTTCCTTCTAACAAATACATTTTATCACACAAATTTGGCATTTTAAAACTTGTTATTCAATAACACATAAATTTTATGCCTTTTTCAAACCTTCAATTTCCATGTTATCTCTTACCTCCTTTTTCTATATAAGATCGTTTAATTTTATGTTCCTTAGAAATTTAAAATTTAATTACATATTTTTTAAATCAAAAATATTTTATTTTTAATATTTAAAATTTTTGTAAATGTTTAATTATATATAACAATTAACTGTATTAGCGAAAATAAACTATAAAATTCTTTTTTAAAAAAATATGAAAATTCTATGGCATTTAATGACATTGATGTCAATCTCCATAATGGCATTGTCAATTAGGAGAGTTAACCCAAAAAGTGTAAAGGAAACGGAAGTTTGGATCAGGTATACAAATGCTAATTTAGAAAATATTCAGAATAGGTCAGAGCAAATAACCCCGCTTTCGCAGTCTTTTTTTAAGTGTACTTCGCAGACATATTTATATATAGTTGGCCTCGAAATTCGAGCTAATTGCGAAGGCAGGGTAACGTGTATATATATATCTATCTTGTAAGTAATATTGCTAACCAACTCAATAATTTTACCCAGAAAAAAATATTATACATTCTGCTCATAGAAGCAACACAAAGGTCTAGACATATATTATCGAAATCTAGAGGCTTAGGCAATGTTTTTTTAACCAAAATATTGAGTTAGTCGTTTTTCAAAAATCGGGCCCAAAAAAATACATCATTTCGGAGGACGGGCAAGAGAAAATAATCCTAATAATATAATTATAACCAATTTCAAAGGGAATAGTGTATTTTTTATCATGTTTTTTTTTGAATTAATAGATTGCATGGCCATTATGATGGTACGATAACGAATGAGGAATACAATGTATACGAAGGACGAGGGGGTGATTTCGATAGTGATAACACTTTTTATAAATCTTTAAAATATTCTCCAAGACCTGCAGAGGTGCCATTTGCACGGTCCGGTCCGACACGGCCCGGCCCGGATTTACAACCCGGCCCGGATTTACAACCCGGCTTGGATTTACAACCCGGCCCGGATTTACAACCCGGCCCGGATTTACAACCCGGCTTGGATTTACAACCCGGCCCGGGGTTATTTTAAAAAATATATTATATTTATTTTTTTGATTTTTATAGCTAATAACGACGATTTCAAATGTTTGGTTTTTAAAAAAAATTGAAATTCGGTTCTAGCCGGGCTAGGGCTAAGCCTGTAAGTTTCTGAATATTATTGTATTTTTATATAGAGAGAAGTTGAAACATTTACAATTTTTTATTTTAAAAAATAATAAAAACTTATTTTGATTTAATGGGAGGAATTTGGGAAAGGAAAAGAAAAAATGATTTTTATTTTTTTACATCCGCTAGAAAAAAATGAAAAAAATGAAAATTTTTCTTTTTTTTTTAAAAAAACTATAAATTTTAAGCTACGACAATGCAGGCACCAGAAGATGTTCTTGGCGAAGGGTAAATGGTAGTAAAATATGAATATTAAGAAAGAAAAGAAAGAAAATAAAGAAAAGAAAGAAAAAAAAGAAAGAAAGAAAGAAACTATAAAAATTTTCTTAAATATATATGTATATTTTTTAAAATTTAGATCTTAAAATTACTGGAATTGATAGATTCAAGATGGAAAAATTCTGACGAAATTAATCATTTTTAAAATATTACAAAAGATATTATGTTAGAACCTTTTCTTTAAATTAGGAATTCCAAAGGAAGATATGTTTTAATATATATATATATATATATATATAAACATATTTAACTTGATCTGGTATTATTCGGAGGGAAATTATAAACTATATTATTATCATTATTATCATTATTATAACTTATATATAATTAGATGTGTTATCAACAAAAATAACATATAAAACTTTTTATAGATGACGAATTTTTCAAAAAATAAAATTATTTTTAAACAGGGTTCTGGTCCCGAATTTGGGGGGTTCAGGAATTTTCGAAACTCAATTTAGTGCAAATTTTATAACAGGAACTTAAAATCTTAAGCCAATTTTCTGAAAGAGGTCGAGCCGGCACCAAGTTCAAATTACCCCGGTTTCCATGGGTTGCCCATAAAATGGTCTACGATCTTAAAATTCTCAACCGTACAATTGTAAAATTTTCAATAAAAAAGGGAAGTTTAAAAGGGTGGGATTAGTTTTTCCAATGTATGTAAAACTGTAGAGAATATAAAATAACTAATTGTCAGTGTATAGGAAGGAATAAAGAGATTGGCTTGATTAGAAAACGAATAAACGAAAAGAAAAAATAAATATATAATAAAATAGAAAGAAATGAAAGGAATAGAGAAAGGGAATAAAACAAAAAAAAATATTTAAATGAAAACTTTTAGTTCGAATAGAGTTTATTTAGAGGCCTTTATTTATAATAAACGCAAATCGCTCACGCGATGGGATACGCGTTTAAACTTACCCATTATTTGCTTGCTTTTTTTAAATATAAAAAACCCAGCGGTGCGCGTTTTCTAGAAATGAGGGATCTCATTCGTAGTTCGTTTTTTTTTACAATTAATCATATTTTTGGCCCCGAAAATGCTGTCAAACTGTCCTCTTGATGGGCGTGGGTGTGTCCAAGGATAGAGCGGAGAGGGGGGGTGCCTTTGAGTTTCTTATATTTTTTTTCCAGCATATATTTTATTGAAGATCCTTAAGCCCAGCTCGCTATTTTTTTTAAAAAAAATATTGTCTACCAAAGTTGGTGACAAAATTTCGAGAAAATAATAGGACCCATTGTAATAACACTGGGAAAACACCGCTAAATATCCTCAAGAGATTTGGTTATAACCTTTTTAAAGGACCACGGGCAAAGCATATTTAAAGATGATTTGTAGAACAGATATTCGCTAAATAAACCTAATAAGAGATCACATGAAACTTCAAAATTCATTCATAAGGTAGATAAATCTCAAATATATGCTTCACCCTCCCCCCCCCCTCCCCCATAAAGTTTAGAAAAACAGATGGAAGGAAAAAACATGGATAGAAAAAATGTCGGAAGAGTAATTACTCCTGTTTTCACAGTCTCTGTTACATAATATAAAGAAATTAATAAAAAATTTTATCGCAATTTAATGAAAAACTTCTATTAGTAGCGTAATTTTTTCTCTTTTTTTTGCTTCTACAAAGCGGAGAATCAATACATATATATATACACATATCTTGATAGAGCGGAGATGCTAATTTACAATTATTAAAATAACAAAAATGGGCTGAGAACGAGTAAATAATTAGGGGCCTATGAGCTGCTAACCCCAAAAGCAGGGCAGGTTTTTTCGATTGCGGATCCTAATTGGAATCGTCGGTCATGCCGTAACCCTCCGCCAGCTCCATATATCGGCTAAGTTTATTATTGATGTTCCTCGTGGAAGATGTTTTCCTCGGCGTTTCAAAGACCTCCCCGCTATAATCCACCATCTCGGGTTGATTTTCGGTGAACCGGGCCCAATAATCGAAATCGATATCGTATTCGTATTTGTAATCGAAGTCGTAATAGATCTCGTAGTAATACTTGAGGTAAAGTTTAACGAAGTGGTCGTACATCTTGTAAATGACCTTTTGTTTTTTTTGAGCATAATATAGTATTATTATGCAGAACGAATTCAAGAGGAGGATTTCTACTTGTTCGTCCTCCAGGATAAGCCCCGTTCTAGGGTCCTGATCATATATGACCCTGAGTGTTGTCAGGGTCACTCTCAGCTCTTGAACCGTGTAAGGAATATTTATACGGAAGTTGAAATAGGGTTGCCGCCAAGGATTACGATTTTCCAGTGAACGTTTTCCTTGTTTTATTTTTTATTTCGAAATAGAACGGAAGTAGTAATAGGAATAGAAATTTGTAAACTTATTGCACCCATTTCTTTATAATAACTACTTCAATAATTATATTTATTTTATTGAAACATGACTATACCATCCTCATTAACAGCACAATTACTTATATAAACCGACTAATTTATCAAAATACAATTTATAAACCATGGATGAATATGAATAACGAATCAGCTGGCGAGGCCATTTTGATTTTCCCGTACAACTAAAGATTCATTCTTATAAATTATATACGTATAAGGAAAAAAACAAAACTGCGTCGCCAGCTGTTACAGAATGAATATACATTCTTTTTTGGGCAATTTCAAGATTTAAAGTAATTTATAACATCATGTAATCGAAAAAACAAAAAAAAAGAGAGACATGATAAAAATCAGTGGACCTGCAGGTCCGGTCCTAAGCCGGGCCCGAGCACACGGGCCGGACCGTATTTTAATTTTTTTAAACATACCCAAACCGTGCCGGGCCTAAACTTTTTTCAAAAAAATATCTGGACGGGGCCTTATGATTCAAAATTTTGAAAATACCATTTAGTATCGATTTAAAATCTAAAATAAATATAATATATTTTTAAAAATATAAAACACGGGTAGGGCCAAAAATTTTCAAAAAAACCGGACCGGAAATTAGAAAAATAATTTTACAAAATTGAAAATCGATAAAAAAAAATAATAGGGTTTAACTTTTTAAGTAACAAATGTAAATGATGGGTAATCCTATGAGAGCTACTATTCCTAAGAACAAGGATAATGTTTGCCAGAAATCGCGGTAATCTAGATGATCCAAGCACATATCTTATTTTTTTTTACGATTAAATATATTTTCTTAAAACAAGATTTCTATGGTGGGAGGAGAAAAAGAAAGAAGGAAGTGTTAGTGTAGTTGAGACAGAAAAGAAATATTTTTTCTTAGAGACGTGTTCACTCTAATGCCCAGCTCAAACTAGTTTTCTAGTCAACCAACCACGCAAACATAAATCATATGTTAAGCCCTAAGAATTATGTAATTTTCGCGTAACTTTTCGAGGAATATCGATTGCGGCAAAAATGGTGATCCTTTCTCTTACTTTGAGTCAGGTCCTAAGCTCGGTGTCTCTTAATAAGATAAGGAATAAAGAAGAATACCTAACCCCCCCCCCCCCCCTTCCAATGAAAATATAAGGAAATAAGAACCCAACCCAAAAAGATTCTGATTTTGAATTAAAAAAACAAATTTTTCTCTAAAGCAGTTCTGATTCTACATCCGGTTTACAAATGTCTAAACTCGGGAAATAGATAAGAAAAAAAAGGACACAAGCAATAAAAAGAAAGAAAAAGAAGAGAAGCGAATAATCTTAACCTTTGACGGGCTCTAGCACGACTTTTTCGATAGTTACGCTTAATGGAGTGTCCCAATATTGGTAAGGAGCGGAGCGGAACTCGACCGGCAAAATAATCTTCACACTTTTTTTCACGTTCGCAAGGTAGTCATCCACATGTTTAAGGTATAGATATATCCTAAAATGGGGCCTAGTGGAATCTGGGGAAATTAAGCTTTTTTTGTTTGTTTTTTTTATAAATTATCAAAAAATTGGAGATAGGATATTTATCTATTATATAGAGAAGAAAAAATAAATATTAGGCAACAGTCAGTTATTTTTTTGGTACCTCGTTACTGATTGATATTATTATAATGCATAGAAAACACCAAGTTAAAAATCTTGCCAACATCCCTTCATAGATTAGGTGGGCTGAGTTGACTGAAGTTTTACTGTGATGTATTCTTCTACATTCATCTAGTATTTTTAAGTTATTAAAGCACCATTTTTTGGGTTTAGGGAATTCTTATCTGGTAAGTACGCCTGGTATTTTTGTGGAACCACGTATAACATATTGATTGTAGTAGAGGCTTCAAGTCTAAGATAGGTTGTATAAATGCTTAGGATAATGTTTTTTGGAACCACTTGTTTATGTTCTACAAGAAAAAAATAATATTTGAGAGAAATTGCTGATTCTGATGATGGTGAACCACCGTGTTCTGAAGCGTGTATTTTCTACTATCAGATCATCATCGAAATAGCCGAGGGAGTCTTTTACTTTCAGTTCCATTGTCTTGATTTGTAACTGCATTACTTGACTCTAGAAGGAACTTTTGGTGATTTGCCCAATCCAACTATTGGGTTGAGTAAAATTTTTACTTTTAATACCACATACTTATTAGATATAGCGTATATTAATTACAGGTAATGTATCAATTCTTATATTATTTTCCAAATATCTAAAAAAAACCAACTTAAGGTTATAGTTGATTTGGCAAAAAATCGATTCAGCCAGCAAAGGTTCTCGATGTGATCAAAATATCAATCGCACAACAAAAATGAATGTTGGAATTATTAAAAGGATAAAGTAAGATGATTATTCAAGTTCAAATTCTATTAAATGTAATTTGTTCAATAACGAAACAAAGTGAAATCGATTTTAATCTAATATACCTTAATATCAACAATTAAAACCAAGAAAGAACTTTAACCTCTAAAGTAAATATCACATAAAATATCTAGTTAATATAGATCACCATTTATATTGTAAAGAGGTTGTTGTTATGATTTGGAACTAGTGTTGTGAAACGGCTCACCCAATATTTACGCCAAAAAAATATTAGCAGGCCCGAGAATTATGCTCGTAGTTAGCGAAAAGATTTGGACATCTATTAACGAAATCTCGAGTCTTGGTGCTATAATCTTTGGCTAAAATTGTGAGCTAGCCGTTTTTATAAATCGAGCCGATTAACAACACTAATTGGAACCGAACATTTCCATTTAATAAACAGGTTTGAATATGTGATTCAAAAAAAATATTATTAATATCCTAAAACCGACCTTTTTTGTTTACATAAAAGAGATATATTACTTGTTAAATAATACGAAGAGGTCATCAAAAACGGATAATACTTTTTTTAATCGGCGATGGATCTATGTAAAAAATAAATTGGTTAAAAAAGAAGAAAGAAGAAGAAAGGAAGGAAGGAAGGAAGGAAGGAAGGAAGGAAGGAAGGAAGGAAGGAAGGAAGAGTTAAATATTTTTTATTAACTAGAATATATGATCAAGCCTATTCAACCTTATACTCCAAATCTCTAGTCATCAACATCTTTTCATAAGAAGTCATATTAAGGAACATGCGCCAATTTTTGTGATACATGTTGACCATCACCAAACAATGCACGTATTGTTCTAATTTAATCGGAAATACAAGAGAAAATTATTACTTAACCTTTTCGTTCCTCTTATATTTAAAAATAAGAGTGAACATATGACATATGATTCCTCACTTGCTAACCCGCACCTATTCCTGATGAAATCGGTATGACGCTCCTTGCATTTGCAGACTCCTTTTAAAAAATTGCAAGTACTTCGCACGTTGAAGGCTTCACATTGCCCATTGTTCGAACACGACTGGTTTAAACGTCTACCTAATAATAATGATAATAAATAATAATAATTAAGAATTAGCGAAAAAGAGTTATGATAATGCTCAGCCGATGTGCGCAGTTTATCCATACGCGAAGTAATTTTCATTTCATGAAATATTTTCGAGTGAGGTATGCGACTCAAGAGCCAGAGGTGATATTTCACTTGGAACCATTGCATTTTAAAACCTATTTTATAGGTTTGTTTAGTGAATTTGAATTACTCCACGGCTTCTAGCTGCGCACTATCATTACTCCCTAATGATTAGGGTATTAAAATGACCTTCAGAGCACGTATTATTATGGAGAAAGGTCCCAGTAGGACATCGGCATCTCGATTGGCATTGTCTATAAACACATTCACTATGATTCAAGCATCTTTGGCCGACAGATTTTTCTAACGAATAATATTAATAAGGGAATATTTAATAAACAACGATATAAGATGGTCATAACTTTCGACGCATTCCCCATTGATCATGATTAAAGGACCGATACATTCGCATTCATTTTTACGACAATAACTTTTGTCCATCACGAGCTGGCAATCCTCATTTTTTTCGCACTCGTGTTCTTAAATGTTTTTTTTTTTATTTCGTTAAATATTATTATTATTATTATTTTCTACAAGCCATAATGATAAAAGATTAAAGGTGTTAGACCCAATTATTTTAAATCAAAAAAATAATTAAGCAATCCTCAAGATTTGGTTGATAGATGGCCAAACCTTTCTATCTTTCTATATGAGAGATACTCCAGGCTTTGCCTTATAGTTTTGTCTAAAAATAATGGGTTAGAAACCGAGCAGTTTAACGACACTATCAATGATACAATCGTGCAATAAAAAAAAATACATTATGGCAATTGCTTTCCTTATGAACAACTGAAATAAAATTTAAACAACTAAAATTTTTTTTTTGCAAAAATGGGGTATATCATTAAATTTCTTCCTTCCGGCAATTATAATTAGATTGCCGATAGATTAAGGCTAATGTTGTTAAACGGCTTTAAGCCCGACTTTTCAAAATGTCTAACTCGATATTTTTAGCCAGAAAAATATTGCCTAAGTCTCGTGATTTCGTCTATATTATGTCTAAACCTTTGTTCCTTCTAGAAGCTAAAATCTTCAGGCTTGCGTAATATTTTTCTGGATGAATCATAGAGTTAGCCGTTTTTTAAAAAACAGGGGCTCAAAACGAGCCTTTTAACAACATTAATTCAGGCAGATAGTTCCTTTAAATACATATATGATAATTAAGAGTATTTACGGATTAAAGATGCCAGGAGATATAGGGAGGAGATACCAGAAAAAATAATTTAATGATATATACCACCCGCCTTATGGAAATTATAATATTTTGGATATTGGGTCGATAAAATTATATAGAACCCTTACAATTGGACCTAATACTTTTTTTCAGATCAGACCCGACCCGTGAAAAAAAGGTAGAAATTTTTTTTTTATCCTAACCAATCCGGTTATCCCTTTTTCTTTCAAAAATCCCGGATTGTTAAACGTCGACCAAATCAGTGTATTGCGTACGATACAATCGTAGTCATTGAGTAATTTTGATAAAAATCTTATTTCTTTCTATATTTTGGTGGGGCAGATAATAAGCTTTAAGGGGTTGGGGTAGGCTGGTCCCTATCATGTAGACTATGTGAGCAAATAAAAAAATTTTTTTGAATTTTTTATGAGGGATAAATCCGGTCCGACCTGAATAAATTTTTTATAGGTTCCGCCCAGACGGAACACAAGAGAATGTTTGTCCGAACGGCGGACCTATCCATTCGATGGCGGGACACTAGAATGTAATAATCTCTATCCAATTTCGAAAAACAATATATATTTAAATAATTATTTTGTATTTCTCTTACCCAGCAAACACAGCCCATTAACATTTTTCAAAGATCCTTTGCAGTTACAAGTACGATTGTGGCATAGCTCTGATAAGCATTCAGCATCGAATTTACAGGAACTGCCAGCCTTAATATCTTTAAAAAAATATGTTATTTTGTTTGGGGCACCGTAAAATGCTTTGTTCACCATTTTATATAAATAGAAACCAGTCTAACATTTTTCCATCTATTCCTCATATTTTTTTAAAAAATTTTTTATTAAGATTACGCGATGTCCTGTAATAAGTTGTTTGGGTTTTTCTAAACTAATCCACTTAACTGCCCAATAAAAAAAGAAGCGAGAAATAACAATGTAGAGACAAATGTCACTCCAAAATTAGATAGTTCGAATGTCAAATATATTTGGCACCCCATTGTTCCTTATATTTACGTTGAATCCCTTATTCTCTCTCTTATCTCTTTATATTACTATGATAGTGTCAATGTGTTTTTTTCCGGTAACGCGCTATAATTTAAAAATCTAATTTTACCGAAAATACATTCCATATGTTTGGAATACCATAAATTTAAAGACAATTCTGCTAAGCATTGAATCATTTATAATTTATATATATATAAATTTTTTTATGTAAAATCGAATAAATTTTATAAAGTTCTTCTAGAGTTCATGGCTAAATTGTCTAAAATTTATAGGGTTTCCAAACATATTGGAATGCATTTCATGGAACTATACTGCTAACAGGATTTGAGGGTAGGGGTATAACCGAGATTAATCATTTTAATACTGAATTATCTTTTTTTAAAATTTTTTATAACTGCATATTGACTTGAGGCAGAAGGGGTGGCCTAAATCACAGCGGGAACTGTAGAGCGCGTCTCCCTTTTTGACGACACATTTCGTTTCGGGATCTGTGGCGTCGATCCATTTCCTTTTGACAATTTTAATTTAAAAATTAATTTTTTTTTAATTTTTGGCGAAATATTCACTTTTTTTTTTCAAAAAAAAAAGTAGAAAGGTAAATGTTGCTAGTAGGGGATGTGCTTAACTAATTATGCATCAAATATCTACAGAAAAATTAGAGCCTAGAATCACGTGATTTTTTCTATTCGTTTAAATCAAACAGAAAAAGCCGAGTATTTGTTTTATTTTTATAAACGATAGCCAATAGAAATACAGATAATTTTGGTATTCGAATTATATATATATATAAATTTTTTTTTTCTTTCTGAACTTACATTAACCTACCGTAATACACGAAATAATTTGAAATATTATCGCTTAAACCACGCGTCACGAATTTTCCTTTCAAGTCTATGAGGACAGCGGAGTTATTTTCGTAGCCTTTTTCGAGACCCACCCAAAGATTATCATCTGGCACGTTGAATATATATAGCTGAAATATTGGATGGGTGGATAAAAATAAATGATTATATTTTGGAGAAGGGAAGGGCAAGGTTAAAAAAAATTGCTTATCCATTTTTGTAATGGTAAAATTGGCATTAACATTGAAAAGTTTTATTATACTATCGCTTAAAATTTACTTCTCTTAAGATATATTCATTTAATTTCTTACTTTAATAACTTAACTGATTCGTTATTGAGGTAGTTAAGTGAGTAAGTTGCATGATGACCAAATCTAAATTAAGATATCCTGTTTAAACTAAAAAGTTGCAATAAAATTTAAAAAAAATAATCTAAAAATATACTCGTAAAAATGGGAAATTTAACATTAATTCCAAGAAACATTATAGATTTTTATAAAAATTATTTTGGGTTATCAATATTTTTTCTTTTTTTTTTAAAATAAAAATGCTTATTTTTCTAAAAAATTTTCGAATATATAAGTCGTTATTAATAAAATATTATCCGAGTGATTTGAGGTTAAAACTCATGTTGATTTTTCAAAGAATTCACCATTTTTTTATTGAAATTCTGAATCCCGTGTTTCGGCACCGACCCAATATTCCTAACAATCTTAGAAATTTTTTTAAAGGCAACATGTTTGGATTCATTCCCCTTCCCCACCCCGGGGAATAAATTAATAAAATAATTTTTAGCCCCTTATATAAGTCGAACTAGCATACAATCTTTTTTGTGCAAAATAAATCGGCATTCTTAAAGGCTATATTCATTCCTCGTTGAGGATTCCAATATTACTTCTTTCTTCTTACCATCTAAGGGACTACGTAACTGCACTGCGAAAGATATATGGAAGCAAAATCTTTTTATCCCAATTCCATTCATGCCGGAAATGAGATTGTAAAAATAAATTTGGTCAACCCCTTCCCCCCCCCCCCATCCGCCCTCCAAATATAAAAAAAATAAAATCTAAAAAGGTACGTTCATTTGAATGTCATCGAATCTGTACAAGTTGCCGTGTAAAAACTTGCAATAATTTATGGATCTGCTGAAACTCATTTTAGGACCTATGTGATAACAGATGTTGTAGTGTCGATAAGGTGTTGAGCACAAATCAGAACAGAAATTGTACGCTTGCATTCCTTGGGGGGGGGGTGATAGAAATATATAAAATTTTGAGACTAATGCCTCATCTCTAGTAAAACGCGTGTTCAAGCGGTGCGTTTATGATGATAACGCTATGATAAAATTTGAGAAACATATGTTGGCGACATGTTTCAAAAATTATAAACGCTACGAAGAATCAGCTGCGATACTGTTAAATAGACACCAACCGCTTGAATATAACGCGTTTACTATAAACGGAGGTACAACACTGAATAATCAAAGATGAAATAAATGGAAAATGAAATAAAAGATAAATAATGAATAAAATATAAAATATAAAACAGAACAAAAAAAAAAAATTGAAAGAAATATATAATAATTTTTATTATAATATTTGATATTTTTTAGCGCTTTTTTTTTCCATTTTAACCTTTCTTTAAGAATAATAGAATAAAAAATACGAATCCTGAGAAAAAAGATGATCTTGCAGATGGAACCATAAAACAAATTATTCAATCTCATCTGAATTTTATGCTTTAATCAATCTTTCCGTTATTGAATGGTCAAAAGAACGTTCAATTCATAATTTAATCTTTATATATGAAATAAATTCCCTAAATAAAGTTTAGAAAAATTTACATTTATTATAATTTATGACTTTTTCTAGAAATAGAAACAAAAAAAAAGTAATGATAATATTGATGATAATGATAGAAATATGAAAGTTTGGCCTCGTTTATTATAATACAACTAAAAAGATCCATATTTATTCATAATTATATTTATCTATTCATTAAAAAAAAATATAAAGATTATAAATAATAATTATCCAGCTTCATATATTCTTCATTCCCAACAGGTCCATTCTTTGTTCCTCCCAGCTGACATCTCCAATTAATCCAATATCTTCAGTCCAAATCTCCAACAAAAGACTTTTCTTTAACGATAACCCATGTGATGATTTCGTTTTCTTCCCCTCCACCAGGAAAGACCAATTCCCCTGTCAGAAAATAACTGACATTTGATGTATTATATTCAATTTATTTCTTCTTTTTTTCAACAGCTACAACAACAACCAAGAAAAAAAAACATAATGACAGGACTCATAAACAGGGACCCGAACCGTTAGTTATAACGGTTCAGTTTGGTTGCCGTTCAGTATGTATAATGGTTACGTTTCGGTTACGGTTTTTAAGAAGAACTTTATAAAGGTTCGGTTTAGTTCACCTAATTATAAAGGTTTATAAAGGTTCATTACGGTTAGAAATTTTTATTTTATTGAAGCAACACCATCTTCCAATTTATTTTTTATTATAAGCATCTATTAATTATATAAGATTTCAAAATAACTCATTTTTAAAAAATATTATTTGAACGTATAAGTATAATATATTTTCTAATATAAATGGATTCCTCTTTGTTCGTTGTGACGATAACACAAATTTTAGCTCCCGAAAAAGCCCTTTCTACAGAAACTCGTGTTGCGGGAACCGCCAGTATTATAAGAGCAACTTTATACAATTCCGGATATTCAAATTCGTGCCACTTCTAAAACATAAAAATTGAGCCGGTTTGAACCGGTTTAACGGTTTAACGGTTTTTTATAAAGGTTCTTTTTACTCCTTCAAAAAATAATTATATCGATGCTACGGTTTTGGTTCAGATATTTATAACGGTTTATAATGGTTTAACGGTTCGTTACGGTTAACTCCGGGTCCCTGCTCATAAAATGGTTGATGTTATGGCGCATGCGCTATCGTTTACCGCGACTATAAATTGCGTCTCGCGCCATCATCGCTATTATCATAAACGAGAACTCGTGATAATATCGCTAAATAACGCTCCATCGTGTTTGCGAATTGTAATCCAAGCAAAAAAATAAAAGCAGTTATCCAATCGTTCAAGTGATAACTAATAGCTTCTAAATCATCCGCCGGTTATATCACCTAATTTTGACAAATTCAATTTCTTGCTTAGCAAAATTGTTGCGACAAATTTTTTTAGGATCAAAATCTTGGTTGTGCCATGCCATTTTTAGGACTGGCCCAAAGTGGTACAATTCTAATACATGAAATGAGAATACCTTAATCGTTTCTAAAATAAAATTTTATTTCTATGCTGTGATTATAACGTTGATACCATTTCCAAACAAGTTTTTTATTTTTATTTTTGAAAGCGATTTCATAGACAGGTTCCTAGAAACTTTGAACAAAGTAGAATATTGCATCTGGCGAGAAACGGAAGGCATATTTTTTTTAAAAAAAATATTACACTTCAGCTTAGTATTGTTAAACAACGCTAAATATTTTAAATATAATTTAGATACAAATAAAATGCGAAAAAGTTCATATCCGTGTTTTGTTGAGATCGGGCAGACACGAAAATGGTATGGCTTTCGAGGTTTAATAGGTATGCAATACGCGAAAAATAGATTTTAAACATTAGGCTAACGGGCGGGTAAATTTAAAAATTTTTTTACGGGGTTGAATGAGCTGAATGGACTTATGTTTTATTTTACCTTAAAATAAAATACGTTTTTATTTTATCTAATATTTTACAAAATTTTATAAATTTAAAGGAAATTTTGAAAAAAAAAGCTAAAGAAAAGAAAGAAAGAAAGAAAGAAAGAAAAATATATTAAAAATAAGATTGATAAACGCGTAGCGTGTCAATCAGGGTTGGGAAGTAAAGCGAATATTTATATTTAAGATACAAAATACAGATACTTTTTTTTTGTATTTGTATTTTAGTTTAAATAGAAATATTTTAGTAAGTATTTAGTATTCATATTTTAAATATACTAAAAAAATAAAAAGTATAACTAAACTATTATTATAAGAACTTTTTTTTAAAATTTCATAGACGATTTTCAATTATTTAATATAACTTCCTATTTGATAAAATTTGAATTTGTAAATCAATTTTAATTACTTATAAAATATTTAATTTCTGTTCACCTTTTTTTTATACTAAGCTATTTACATTTATAAATATATATTTTCACAGGAAAAAAGGGAAAGAAGAAAATATAGATTATTTGGCTGTTTTTTTTATTAAGATATTATTGCTTATATTAATTTTTAAAAGAAATCTTACAACATTCTCTTCTAAAATGTAATATAACCATCTTAGATAGTAAATTTTTTTTTATTAGAAATCACCAGTATAATAAAATAATATGATGAAAGTTATAAAATGTAATTTATGCTCAACTAAAAAATAAATCTGCCATTTAACTCCAGCCTCCCCTCATTTAAAAGTATTTATTATATGATTTTTATACAAATTTATTCTATTTTTATATAATATTATTAATTTATAAATGCAAATTTTAAATATACATATATATATTTTATAAAAGAAAAGAAAAAAAAGAATATTTTAATGTTATTTAGAACTAATCATCTTGTGGGATGAGGCTGCTTATGAAGCTAATGTATAATTAACCCAGTGAATAGCTATGGCGAGTCTTTGTTTTAAGAAAAAGCCTACGCAAGATTCATCAGTAAGTTCACGAATCTTCTATGAAAGAGGATAATGCACCATTCCCAAAGATTGTTTAGGTTGTGGGAATAATGGGAAATAAATATGTATTCTCTTGTGATATTTAGAATATTTTGATATTATATCTCAGATGTATCTATTTTTTCTTCTAATTGCTTGCTAAATATATTTTTATCGATCAAGTTTGAAAGTTTTTATAAATATGAATGCGTACATATTAATTTAATATAAATAATAATAATATAATTTTTTTTATATTATTCAAGAAAGATGATTTTAAATTACATAACGGTTGTTTAATATATCATTTTTACGCACATTGTCACAACTTTATGAGGGCAATTACCTAAAAATCTTGAAGATTTTATTTAAATATCAGAACCCCCGTCGTTCTGTCGATTTAAACTTCATTAAACAACTTATTCACATTGAGGTAGTAGATATAAAATATTTGACATAATAATATTTATGTTCTATAATCAATATTACACTTTACCTGTAAGTTTTTTTAAATATTATAAATATTAATATGGATTGCTGACCTCTGAAACATTTTCCATGATACTAAATATTTTAATTATTAATTTTTTGACTATCTAAGACAGCTAATTAGAGTAAATAAATAAATAATCAAAATTATTATCCTCCCCAGTATTATAATTTTAAACTCTACGTATGACATTTGGAATTATATTAAAATTGTTGTTCGCAAATTTAAAATATAACATTTTTAAATTGTTTATTTTGTATTAATTTTTAGTTTGTAATTTGATATTTTTTTTAACATGAGATGTTTTATGTTATTTATATTACAAGTTAATAAGTTAAAGTAAAAGTTAATAAGATAAATAAAGTTAGGATTAAGGTAATTATATTAGAAATTATTAAATATGATATTTTCAATAGAGTTTTACATAACACTGAACAAAAAAATTAAAGTTTATGATATACTTTAGATAACAAATAAAAATAAAAATATTAGCTACATATTTCCCTACAAAAATATTAAAATATATTAATTTTATTTATAAATTTAAGCATGACACGGTCCAAACCTTTTTTTTAACATATTAGGCCTGACCCAGAGATCATCAATGACCCACCTATTTTTTTATGTCTAAACTCTTTCCATTTTATAAAATTTGAAAAAAATTACTATACATTTTAACATAGGATTTAAGCCATATTACTTATATTTAAGTTGTAATAACTCTACTCGTACCCAGACTAGAATTTTTTGTTATAAGCATTAGAAAGTACAATGTCTATCTGTAGAACAAAAAAAGGATAATTCTCATGCCTAAAAACTACTAAATCTAATTTTTATACAACAAATATATATTATCCTAATTTTATGATTCCAGGTTAATGTTAATTTGAAAATATGTTATTTTAAAAAAGAAATGGGTAACTAAAATGGCGTTTCCAGCTGTTTTTCATTGATGTACACTTCTTGATGAATGAATCGTCAGTCTAGGTATTATTATATGTCATTGCATTAACCCTATTTTTTAATATACATATTTTTTAGCTTTAATTTTTAATTTTTCATCCTCTTTAAGCACTGCTCATTTTAATGGTTTCTTCTAAAAATCAAAATAAATCTTCCAATTTTTTAATATCAATTTATTTTTTAAAAAAAGATAGCATATAATAATACACACAAAAAATTATTAGAAGAAAAAAATAAATATATATTAGATTATGTTACATATATAAAAAAAATATATTTTATAAATGGAGACGTCAATTAAAAAAACACGTGACAATAACGTGGCTTATTAATAACTATCAAAGCGAAAAATCGGAATTTAACGAACCCTTCAACTCGTAATCGTCACCCATATTCATGTATTTGCTGCCCTTTCTCCGTGCCTCATCCTTCTTCTTGAGTTTTTCGGAGGAAATTTTCCTGGGAACCTCAAAGACCTCAGCGCTGTAATCGACCTTAGGCCACACGTGCTCGTTAACCCTAGAAAATCGTGCCCAATAGTCGAAGTCTATATCGTATTCGTATCTGTAATCGAAGTCGTAGTAGATTTCGTAATAGTATTTGAGGTAAAGTTTGAGAAATTGCTCGAACATTTTAGTGATGTCCTTTTATATGTATATTTTTTTTTCGCGTGAAATAGGTATAGTAGTAATATGTAGTGCTTATTAATTTGCTTGGTCGTAAAATTTATGACCCAACTTGGTGCTCAGACCGGCTCTGAGCGCGAACCCGGAGCACATACCCGAAGTTCAGACCCGGGGTTCAGATTGATACAAAATTTCTAAAAACGGTTAGTAACAAATATCTCGAAAACCTCAAGATTTCGCTAATAGATATCCAAACCTTTGGTCCCATCTATGAGCCAAATTCTTCAGGCTCGCTTGCGTAATATTATTTTCTGGATAAAATATTGAGTCAGCTGTTTTTTAAAAAATGGGGCCAAATGGAGCGAATACGCATCGCTAAATAGTAAGCGCGCCTATTTAATCGTAAATAAATTATTGGACCACATATGCGGATGTCGAAACTGCTAGAAAAAAAAATTTTGGGATATAACCGCTCCCGAAAATTTAACCCTTCCCTTTCTTTATATCATCCGGTTAAGAAAAAATGGAGCCAAATTATCTCGTTTGTTTAGAAGAAGAAAGAAAGAAAGAAAGAAAGAAAGAAAGAAAGAAAGAAAGAAAGAAAGAAAGAAAGAAAGAAAGTAATATATGGAAAATGATTTTTAATTAGGATTTCTCACCCGTTCTTCATATACGATAAGCCCGGATTTGGGATTTCGATTATCTAATATATTGAGTTGCGTTAGGGTGACCCGCAATTCTTGAACCGTGTAAGGAATTATTATTTTTTGGTTGAAATAAGCTTGTTTCCAGGGGTTACGGCCTTCCCGTAATCGTTTTTCTTTGTTTGTTTTTATTGATTGCGAAGAAAAAAAAATAGTGTAGATTAGAATAGAATAGAATAGAATGAAATAGGATAGAATAGAATAGAATATAATAACGGTATATAACAATTTACCATTACCGCACCAAATTTATGTATTAATATTTTAAATGTACCATTTGATCGTCACTAGTATACGATTCAATAAATTGAGGTAAATTTGAAGAATAAGACTCAATGTTTTGGATAGAAATGGGTATTCAAAATTGTGCATATCTCAACTTAGTTAATTTGGGAGGAGGAGGGGCAAAAGCCATTTAAAACCTTGTAACCCTTCCTACCCCACGCCGAATTTTTTTTAACGATATTATCTATATTTTGGCTAATTTTAGATAAGAAAATCCTTTTAAAAAAATCCTACATTAAAATTATTTATTGAAAAATTTGTTTTTTTTAGAAAAAATTGTACGAAAATGACAAATGTTTTTTTTAATGAATAGAAAATAACAAAAAATAATAAATTAAAATAGAATAAAAATAGAATGAAAGTTATCTATTTTTGATGAATAAATTTAGTGTACCGAAAAAAACAAATAATTAAAAAGATGGCGAAAACGCGTTACTTTTTAAGTACCACAGGTAAAGTATCGGTAAAAATATGATAGCCATAAACGCTGCGCATAACATTAATATGTAGCCGGCATCGTGGTAATCATCCATGCACATATCTTTTCATTAATATTTTTATTAAAAAAAAAAATTAAAATCCCGGTGTAAAATGTATATATTTATGGTTTAGTTAGAGGCAAGAAAGAGATAATTAAATTTTTTTTTAAGAAATACTCCCTCTAACCTTTTGATGGTCACTCCAAGCTCGGGCATCGTTAATACAAGGAAAGGAAGAAAAGATATAGATAATAAAAGGGAAAGGAAAAGCAGATAATAATAGGAAAAGTGAATAGAGAAAGAAAGAAAGAAAGAAAGAAAGAAAGAAATAAAGTAGGAAGGAAAGAAAGAAAGAAACTAAATAAGAAAAAAAATGTAGAGAAATTGACCTTTGATGGGATTTACTTCGACCTCTTCTATAGTCAAGCTTAACGGGGTGTCCCAATATTGGTAAGGAGCGGAGTGAAACTCGACCGGCAAAATGACGTTTAAACCTCGCTTCACGTTAGCCAGATGGTCATCTACACGTGCAAGGTATAGGTACATCAAAAAATGGGGCCTCTTGTAATCGGAAGAATTTAGGCTTTAAAAACCAAATGAAAGTATTCGGGGTGAAATTAGCGTAATTTAAAAAATTTTCAAATAATGTTTAACTCGAGGAGCTAAGAGTCACCAAGATTTTTTTTATTTTTATTTTGGCCAAAAATCAATTCCAAAGAATCTTCATTCAAAAATGATTGTTTTTAAGGAAAATCTAGGCATGGCATCCAAAGTTTCGACCCAAAGATCCCGGTAATAAAAATTAAAGCTCGTAGAAGAAAAGCTTTACCAATCCTTAATTTCTTCTAGAATATTCCAAAGAAAATTTTTTTTATAAAGTGGAAGGTTGAAATTCAAGAATTATTTGAATAGTGACAACATGTGCCCCCCCCCCTACCCATGTTTAGGCAATGTGTTATTTTTTTTAAAAACTATAAATCATTATTTTGAGCGCGTTTTTTTTAAATTTTAAAAATCACATTTTACCGGAAGTGTGTGCCCTCATGTTTGGAATACCTACCCCCTAACCCTTACTCTAACCCTAACCCTATCTCTAACCCTGACCCTAACTTAACCCTAACCCTATGAATTTTAGACAATTTTTTTACATGAACTTTTTTAAAATTTAAATATAATTTACAATTAAATCTTCCGCGTATATTTTTATAAATATATAAATTATAAACTCAAAGGTTTTACAGCTAAATTGTCTACGATTCAATTAATTATTTTATTACCTATTTTCAGCCATATTTTATTATTTTCAATATTCAGACTTTTATTAAAAATCTTATAAACATGATTAAGAAAATTTATATAATTTAATTATTTTTTAAAATGTCAATAATATAAAGCATAATCTCGCATTATTTCTTATTTATTTTTAAAGGAGAGGCAGTTTCTTTTAATTGATTTGAACAGTTTTAAATTAAAACGCGCTGTTTGATCTTTATAGAAATATGCATTAAAACTTGAATAAAATAAAATCGTTCAAGAAATCAATATTTAAAAATTTTTTTTACAATATATCAGGGTTCCAAGTTGGAACTATTAGTCAAATTCAGTTATAAATAACGGTTAAGTAAATCGATAGGTTAGGTTATCCTTACACGAAAGAATATAATTCCGGAAAAATCTGATTTTTAAATTTTGAAAAGACTCGCTCATAAAAAAAATGATTTAAAGTAGTAACGATAACACATTGACGCCAACCTTTACAATCACATAAATTAAAAATTTTTTTTATTGTTCAATTTTTAATTACATAGTTTGTAACATTAATGGAAGTATTGCCAAAATTCTAGCGGAAATAGACCAATTATCCTAGATTATGCATTCATAATAATGCATCTTGAAAGCGTCGCTGAATGCAAATCAGCTGGACCCGCCATTTTGGCAACCCATATAGTCATTTTTATTCTCGTGTTAAAAAACTACTTATTAAATTAAATAACTTGCTTCCTTATTATCTCGATGATAAGGCTATTCTTTTTATAAAAGCATGCGTCAGACATAGAAATAAATGGTGGTAATCAAAATGGCGTCCCCAGCTGATTTCATTGATGTACACCTATTAATGAATGCATTGTCAGGGTATTATTATTATTATGTCAATGAGATAGACCTAAATAAGTGGTGAAAAAGTCTAATCAAATAAATATTTCTCCTTATATCATCTGGTTTTTTTTTCTTTTTTAAAAAAAATTGCCTTGGTGTGATGACGTTTATTTAAAGAGAAAAAAAAATATATATAGACTAACCTCAACTCATATCGGCTTTTCTAGGCTTTTAAGAATTTTAAAATCTAATGCTCAGAATTTCTCAGCGAAATAAAATAAAATGATAGCTTTTAAGGAATAATTTCTCCAGGAGGAAAAAAAAATTTGCTCAAAGTTTTATCAGAATCCTCTCAGACACCTAGGGGGAAAAGATAAAGGGTTATTATACCTGAACCAATAAATTTCAAAAGTTATTATAAGTAAACATTTTGAATTAATCTAACAAAACCAATATAAATAATATTATTATTTTTCGGGAAATATTTCGAACAAAATTGGAAAGATGTTAGCGAGGAACAACTTAACCTTAACATTATTATTAGTTTCAAAGTTAAATATAAACTGGTGGAACGATAAATCGGTTAAAACCGGAAATAGATTGGAAATAAAATCTAAATTTTTTTTAGAACGATTTCTTCCCTTAAACGAAATAATGAGTGATACAGTCATTTTTACCGAAACAACGATTTAATTTTTGAAATTCCTTTTTTTTTGTGTTGTTAAATTAGCTAACTTTGATCATCTCTATTGTGATTTAGTCACACTTTTAGCTTAAATAAAACTAAATTAAGCCACTAAGGAGTCTCATCTTGAAGATTGATTCGAACATTTTTGCTGTTTTGCAGTTGACTTAGGTAGTTTAACAACACTACCTTTTTTTTTTAAAAACCCCACCTGGTATCTTTCTATTTTAGCCCTTAAATACCTTGCTCGAGCAAAATAATGGGTTTTAGGAAAAATAGATCCTGCTGGGAACGAACCCCAGCAAAGAAGATTGCTTCCTCATACTATCCCTGTTTCCCCAAACTATATCTAATCTTCTGGCCACAGCTTCCCTTCTTAAATACATATTAATTCCACGAAAACGAACGCATATTGTATGTCTACGATTTTTTATATTTTGTTTTAAAAAAAGATTAACAATATGTTTAAAAAAAAACAATGCACTCCAGGCCAGGGTATACTATCTTAAACCAATGCGATTTACTACTTATCATGATACTTTTTATTTTCGGAAAACTGAGCTCCTCTTAAAGTAGCCTTTTTTTAATAAAAAAATATTAATATTATATTACTTGTTAAATATCATGAGGAGATCTCTAAAAATATGGAATTCTCGTTTCAATCGGGCGTGGATCTATGTAATATAATATAAATTATGTTAGATAAGGAAGGATAAAGCAAAACTCATATTTAGTAAGAGCGTATCGCTGGGGTGTTTTTGGTATAAAAAGCAAGCAAATTAATGGGTAAAAATTTATAATGGATAGCGATATAATTCATTTCATCTTTTCATCGCGCAGCTATTTATAAATTTTGCCTATAATTTGCTTTGCAGTTAACTAATGTTGTTAAACGGCTCGTTTAAAAACGGCTAACTTAATATTTTCGCCACATAAATATTGACTAAGCCTCGAAATTTCAATACTATATTTCTATACCTTTGCTCCTTCTATTAGCAAAATTTTCAGGCTTGCATAATATTTTTCTGGATAAAAAACTGAGTTAGCCGTTTGAAAATAGGCTCAAAACGAGCTATACACTGCAGTAAACTCCTAACCCTAACTCTCATGATAGTTTCCTCTCCTTTGTACATTATTGCTTAGTGAAAATAGCTAGGCAATGCCCTAAGAATCGGGCTATACCTGCAGAAGGAAATCCCTTTAGGGAAAATTGAAGTATACGGGCTAATTTTTGCTTTTTTTTTCCAAATTTGAGCCAAATTTTTTTAAAAAGGATAAAAATATAAGTAAAGTTACTTAAAACGTATTACTTACCAAAAGTGAAAGTTAAAGGAAAAATTAGGAATGGGTGTAGAAAACAAAAAAAAGGGTGAATAAATCTATACGCAAATACATGTTTGACATCTATCAAAAACCTTATCTTCTAGATCCCTTGTCATCAGCATCTTTTCGTAATCGGTTAAATTAACGAACATCTGCCAATCTTTGTGATACATGGTAACAGCTGCCAGACATTTAAAATGTTTTTCTGAATTATTTTTATATAAAAGTTGTTTATAAATAATTATCAAATAAATCCGAGTTCGAGATATGTCGGGTAGATATCATCCACATAAAATTCGAATGATTGATTGATTGGGGTTGTTCTATACTCAATTTTAAAAATAATTTTGAAAGTTTAACCAAAAATGGATAGATAGTATGTTATTTAGGCATAGTTAAAATTATAAATAATTAAGACCCGCGGGGCCGGCCCAAAACCGGGATCGTACCCTTAAAAAAGAATCGGGTCGGGCCGGGTCGGGCCGGGCCGGGCCGTTTATTTTTTAACCGATAATTATAAATAGGTATTATTATCTAATATAAAAAAAAATTAAAAATAAATAAATTGTAATTTAAAATGGAACAATACATAACATTTATTCACTTAATTTCTTATTTTCCATTTTTTTCCTTTTCCTGAATTCTTAAGAAAAATAATTTCTAGCGAAATATTCTTAAAATTAATTATCTCAACTGAAAAATTTTCTTAGATGATATCCAAAAATAAATGAAATTAGAAGCAATAGGTATACCCTCAATATTTAAAATAATATACCTTTCCATGGATAAAAATTTATTTTAGATAATTTATACATTTATATCTCTTTTTTTCCCTCAAATTCAGGAAATTGTTGCCAGCAAGGGAGCGCAAAATAACGGATACTTTATACCAATGACTCTAGTAAATTACAAGATGAACAGGAAATAAGAGAATTACCATCGATCAGTCAAATAGAAAGTGTGTGGAAATTTAAACTCACTCCTTATTAGTATGAATGGGGAGAATATTATAATTTTTAAAAGTTATTATATATTTGATTCCATATTCGCCGAAAATCGATCCGTAAATTGCCGAATAGTTATATAAATTTTTTTAATTAAAAAATATCCGGGCAAAAAATTTTAAAAACCGGGTCCGATAATTTTTTTTGCAAATCCAGGCCAGGCAATTCAAATGGTACCCTCTTGATACAACGATTTTTATTTTAACATAATTAATTCATGTATTCGTAAAACTTCGGTTGATATTTTATTTAACAAAACCTAATTTTGTATCTTTCTATTAGAGATTCTAAATCTCGCTGATGAATTTTACCTCTGAGATTTCGATAAGATAATAGATATCTAAAGATCCCATACACGATAAGAACAAAAACTATAGGCTTAGAGCTAATGATGACAAGTTAGATTTTAGCTCAAATATCTATCCAAGTATCATCTTTGCTAAATGTATGATTGTGATATACATCTGACCTTATAAGTCTGGAAAAATAGGCCTATGTGCTCCAGGACAGATGGCCTTTAAGGGCTATAAGATCATGTTTATTGGTGAATAGGGAGATGAGCGAACTCATATACAACTCGTGCGAAGTTACATTGAAGGCCATTATTATTCCAACATTAATTGTAGGTCAAGAACAAACAAGTTCAGATTATATCAATCTAATTTTTTGGATCTTACACCAGGAGGCGTCAAAATTTTTATAGGAAGTCAGAGATATATATTTTAGAATTATATCACTCAATGCAAATAAATCCTCAACCAATTTACTCTACCAAGTGGGATGTAAAAATAATAAAATATCATGAGATGAACCATGGCTTATTGCGAATCTCAGTTAAACAACTAGTGGATAAGTAAAATTTTTAGGCAAAAAATAGTTTATCAAAAAACAAATTATATTTTCTATTTGTTATAGAAATTAATTATAATGTTGTATTTTGCATTGTAATAATTATCTCATCCTACTTTTGAATTAAGTAAGTGGGCCTAATTTTAATATTTCAAAAATTCTAATTAATGAAAGAGATTAATTTTACACAAATCATTACATACGAGGGTATGTGTGTGTATCCATATATTTAAAATATTTCAAATTACCAAGAAGAAAATTCCTCATCATGATATCATGATTCATGTTGGAAGCATGAAATTGCAAAACTGAATTAACTCGTCAAAGAATGAATGAAAAGGGAAATTCAAACTCTATGCATTCAAAGAACATAGAGAAATATTTCCCCGGTAAAGTTTATTATCACTTTAACAAGAAATTTTAACTTCATTTGCTCAACCAAATTTGGGTTTCATCTCAATTCCAAATATTCGAAATCACTATTCAATATTTTCCCGCCTTCCCTAAGTTATTTATATCGTGTACAATATCGTAATGGTTATAGTATTCTTAATGTCGGGAACATTTGAAAATTAACTATTATTCTTATAATATATATTTTATTCAAATTTGATTAATAAAAATTAAATCAACTTGGGGTTTTTTTAAAAAAAAAAACTTTCTTATATACTTACTTTCCCCCTTCCGGTCTTGGTGACAAAAATATAAACCGCGTGATATTGTGATCCTTACTTGCTAGCCCGCATCCGTATCTCATGAAAGTGGTGTGGCGATTTTTGCATTTACATACACCTTTTAACGGATCGCAAGTACTACGCGCGTTGAACGCCTCGCATTGTTCACTGTTTGAACACGATTCGTTGAAACGCCTTCCTAAAAAATATTTTTCAAAAAGAAATAATGGTGGATATACAAGACCTTCAGAGCACACATTATTATCTAGAAAGGTTCCGGTAGGACATTTACATCTTGATTGGCATTGTCTGAATTCGCATTCACTATGATTATAACATCTATCTCCGATAGATCTTTCTAAAACGAAATATAATATATTTTTTTTTACACTTTATGTATAATGATAAAGAAATTGAAAAATAACTTTGATTATAAAAAACTAACTTTTGATGCAACCTCCATTGATCATAATGTAAGGACTAACACATCTGCATTTTTTCTTATAACATTGACTATTATCTATCATATTCAAACATTGAACATCATTTTGGCAAGCGATATCTAACATTTTAACATTATGTATATATTAAAACGAGTAGATAAACATTTGTTAATATACTTATTAAATTTATTTTGACCTTATAATACATTCCGGCAAGGTTAATTGCCAAAATATCTAATGATAAAAATTTCTAAAATTAAATTATCAGAACCGCGACTTCCTTATCTCGAAAAACAATATATTTTATTAAATTTTTTTACTCCATACACATAAGCCATTAACAGATTCCAAATTAACTCCGCATTGACACGTACTATTCGAACAATTATTTGATAGGCATTCTTTGTCGGATTTACAGGCGTCTCCCAGCTTTATATCTTAATCACGTGATTATAATTTATAAAAAAATATTACATATAAAAAAATTTTGGAAATTTTATAATCAAAAAAATGGAATCTATCTAACACGTTCTACACCAATTCTTCATCTTCCCCCCAAATCTATTATCGTGCCATCAGTAAGGCCAATTAGATATTTATAAATGTAACTGCTGTGATAAATTATATTTAAATGTTTACATGTTTACCATTCTGAGGCTATATTTTCGTCTTTTAATATGTTCGATTGATTTTAAAAGTTTTATATTTTTACTGTTTTGAGGCGATATTTTGTTATGTATTTAGATTTACATTTTTTTAGATATCATTTTTGACCTTTGATATTAAACAAGGGAAACAAAATTACCAATATATATTATATAGTTCAATAATATCAATAATTTACACAATATTCAGACTTTGTTGGTATTTTTTATTCGCTAACAATATTTATTTTTGCCAAAAAATAAAATAAGGAAAAATAATTTAGAGATGTGAAAATCAAATTCAAAAGTTCAATCAAACTTGTGGGGATCCTTTTGTTCCCCACCTTTCTTATTCACTCATACTTTTCCATCCCACTGTACCACCAATTCCTAGCCTAGTATTACCATATCACACTGACAGGATTGGGAGAGAGTCCATCCTGAAAACTGCATGAATCCCAAATCCAGAAAAGCCGACTCATGGAACGGACAATTTTGGGGAAATTTCTTTTTTCCCGCGACAAAAAAAATACGAAGCGGCAAAACGTTTTAAAAGTATTTAACGTTCTGTTTGGGTCCACGTGTCAATCTTTTATGCCTAGGGTCCATTCCGAGATAGGTCATTTTATTAGTCGGGAAATATCAATTTAGTAAAATTATATTCTCAATTATTTTTTTTATTTTAAAACTGCATATTGATTTGAGGCAGAAGGCATGACCAAAATCACATCGGGAACTGTAAAGCGTTTCTCCTATTATGACGACACATTTCTTTAAGGGATCTACGGTCATTCCATCGATCCATTTCCTTTAAAATAAATGATAACTATAACATGCATTTTTTTCTTTTTTTCTTTCTTTCTTTCTTTCTTTCTTTCTTTCTTTCTTTCTTTCTTTCTTTCTTTCTTTCTTTCTTTCTTTCTTTCTTTCTTTCTTTCTTTCTTTCTTTCTTTCTTTCTTTCTTTCTTTCTTTCTTTCTTTCTTTCTTTCTTTCTTTCTTTCTTTCTTTCTTTCTTTCTTTCTTTCTTTCTTTCTTTCTTTCTTTCTTTCTTTCTTTCTTTCTTTCTTTCTTTCTTTCTTTCTTCCTTCCTTCCTTCCTTCCTTCCTTCCTTCCTTCCTTCCTTCCTTCCTTCCTTCCTTCCTTCCTTCCTTCCTTCCTTCCTTCCTTCCTTCCTTCCTTCCTTCCTTCCTTCCTTCCTTCCTTCCTTCCTTCCTTCCTTCCTTCCTTCCTTCCTTCCTTCCTTTTCCTTCCTTCCTTCCTTCCTTCCTTCCTTCCTTCCTTCCTTCCTTCCTTCCTTCCTTCCTTCCTTCCTTCCTTCCTTCCTTCCTTCCTTCCTTCCTTCCTTCCTTCCTTCCTTCCTTCCTTCCTTCCTTCCTTCCGTCCTTCCTTCCTTCCTCTTTCTATCACCCTATAATTAATTATAGGGGTTATGTTAATCATTATTATTTTCCTTTATGATTTATAATATACATAAATAAATTAGAATATTTAAAAAAAATAAAATAAAATTGTATGGTACTTTGAAGGTGTACTTAACCCATATGCAGCAAGGTACTATGTGAACTGAGTATTAACGGTTAACTATAATTTAGCGTTAAACATACTATTTTTGGGATTTTTAATAATTTTACTAACCAACGGGAAAGAATGCTAATGCCTATACTCTTACAATACTTATTTCCCTCGTTTACAAACCCCAAAAATGATAAACATCAAAGTCATAAACTAAGATTTTCAGATAAGATATATTGAGATGTCTTTTTTTTAACAATTGGATTTCTGCTCATTTGTATTTAAAATTAATTTTCCCTTTTTACTTACATTGTTCTCCCGTAATAGGAGAAATCATTGGATATATTATTGGGAAAACCACGCGTCACAAACTTTCCGTTCGAGTCTTTAAGGACAGCGGAATCTTTTTCGTAATATTTTTCAAAGTCTACCCATAAGTTATCCTTGCCTACTATAAATATATCCTTCTGAAAAAGGATATAATATTTTAGGAAGGAATAGGAAAATATGAAATATTTAAAATAAATACACTAAATAAAATAAATTTTTTTTTAAAACAAATATTACCTATCACTTATACAATATACATTTCTCGAATATTGCTTATAATCAGGCGCCCGGAAATAAAGGATTTTAGACTTCCGGCACAATTAAACAACTGATCGATTGATTTTTAAAAATCAATTTTATGAGATACATTTTTTTAATTTGAATTCCATTCGTTAATTAATAATCACAGAATTATTGAATTTAAAAATAAAGAAAAATCCATCCTCATAAATTTATTTTGAAAATCGATCATGTTAGATATCCTGCCGAATTGGCTCCCACCATCAATGCAGATTCAGCCAATAAAAATATCCCCTATTCCCATACGTTCTAATTGGAACGTTCCGGTAAGTATTCCTGGATCCAAACGTTCTAATATTCTCTACAGGTGGGGTGGGAGGAATGGTTATTATAAATTTGTGGGTCGGTAAAAAAATCTTTCATAATTTTTTTTTAAATAGTGTTGTTTAAACGGCTCCTCGATTTTGAGCCTATTTTTAAAAATTCGCAACACAATATTGGATAGGGAAAAGTTAAAGGGCGAACCTGAAGATTTTGCTCATAGCAAAAGGTTTGGACATCTATCAGCGGAATCTCTAGGCTCAATATTTTTTTAGGGCTAAAATATTGAGTTAGTCCATTTTTTTTAAAATATCGACTCAAATCGAGTCGTATACAACACTACTTTTATAGAACGTCCTTAGTTGCCCATGGAACGAAAATTACCCTTCCTATTTTAGTTCTCATATATTCTCCATATCCCTTCTTATATTCCAATAAGAATAATCTAAAATATAATAATCACCATTCTTTTGCGATGTCAGTGACTTAGATAATATTTGCGACTAACCAATAAGAGAAATTTAAAATATAGGGTGAAATTACTTAAATTTGTATATCCATATTATTCATATATCAATAGCCAAAATTATGTTGTCTTATTACATCCCTAACTTTATGTTATTTGATAGGGTTTTTTTTAAAATAAATGAATTATAATTATTAGACTCCTTTATATATATTATCCTACAAATTGTAATGTAATGTCTATTAATGTTATATTACAAATATAATTTAGGGGTATAGGATAATAAGTACGACACATTTCATTTTGGTCGATTATTAACTATTAGAATAATTATATATGGGTTGAAGAAGCTACAGCCAAAATCTAGAACTTAACGTTCTTCTGAGCAATTTAGGACCTCTATTAGTACTCACCCAGGATGCTAGACCATTACCCTGATTTGAAACTGATATATTTAGAATGGTAATACTATTTAAATTAGTAATTATCCATTTAGGATTCATAGGAAAGTAATTGAACGGTATTAATGTACATTCCCTAGAAAATAAGTATGCAGCCCATAGCCTATGATTTTGCGTGTATTGAGTTTTTTTTTCCTTTTGAGCTTTCAACTTTTCTGGTGCCTATCTCTCTCCACTTTATGTTATTTATGCTATCTCTTTTATCTAATTTATATTTCTTCATATTGGCTCTAACTTTATGGCCCCATTGAAGTTTTGGCCTTACTCTTTTACGTTTGCCCATCCCTTCCAAACTCTTAACCTTATTTCCTATATAGTTTGTAGATCTTCTCATTCTGTGCCCATACCACCTAAGTTCTGTTCATCATTATCTTAGTCTTAATTGGCACATATACAAAACTTACTTTCATTTACCGAAAAATATTGGCGATAATAATTTCCCCTCATGTACAACTTTCGTTCTCCTAAAAAAAATATCGGCAATATATATCGATTATCAGCGAATAATTTTATCTCCACCAAAAATATCGGCTTTTAGCAAGGGTAGAATATTTTTTAAGAATGTATTTTTTTGGCTCTACGTAATGTAGTTTATTTTATACTTAATGTTAACATTTGAATTTTCTAACCAACCTTAGATCTTTTTTTTGAATTTATTAGCATTTCTATTTGTTTCTTTAAAAAAAAACGAAATAAAGGGGGAAAATTAGAAGGAAAATAGGAGGAAAAAAAAACATGTTTGGGTAATTACATTCATTTCAATGTCGTCGAACCTGTAGAGCTCACCGCCCGAAAAAGCGCAATAACTTTTAGCGTGGCTAACACTTTTATTGGGTCCTATATTATAACAGATTTTGTTGTATGTGTAAGGCGTAGGACAGGAATGAGAACAATCACTGTATGCCCGTAAACCTTAGGAGATATTTAAAAAGATATTAAAAATTTTAATTTCTAAACTCCCAAAGGAAAATAAGGCGTAGATAATTGTAAACGCGATTTGTTCAAGCGGTGAGGGGCATTTAACGGTATCGAAATCACAGCTGATTCTTAATCACTAGATAATTTTTTTGTAACATACGCTTTTCAAATTTCATCTTAAGCGTTTTCATTTTTTTCGCTTCATAAAATTTATAAATTATATCTACTTTATTAGCTTGAGTTTAGAAATAACGCAACCTTAAATACCGCGTCAATCATTTGAACATATCGCGTTTACTTTTTATACAAATAAAAATATAAGAAACTCTAATTATAGTGTGAACCAATGACATATAATAATGCCTAGACTGACGATACATTCATTAAAAGTGCACATCAATGAAAACATCTGGGGACGCCATTTTGATTAGCCATTTAATTATTAACAATTTTAAACGAGAGACCAATTCATTCCTATGTCTGGCGCAAACTTTCTTAAAGAATTGCCTGATCGTCGAGCTAACAAGGAAGCAAGTCATCAATTTTCAAAGTAGTTTTTAACATAAGAATAATGAATATATGGGTTATCAAAATGGCGGCTCCAGCTGATTTTGCATTCAACGAGGCACTATGAATACATCGTTAGTCCATTGAACGTGACTCTACATTGTTAAATTGCTCAGTAAAACGATTTCTGCATAATAAACGTTTAAAATTTTTTTGCTAGTCATTATTTCCTAGGTTCTCCATATGGTTCCAGCTGAAACGTTATTCATAAATTATTTTAAACCTTTCTTTAAGGATAATAAGATGAAAATGAATCCTGTGAAAATGAACGATTTTGCAGATAGAACCATATAATAATGTAATCAATCTCATCCGGAATTTTTTTTTATTTTATGTTATTTGCATATATAGAATGATTTTTGGAATGTTAATCCCTATTTTTAAAAGATTTTTTAAAAAAAATGGAATTTGTTTAAAATTTCAAAACTTGGTTCATATAATTTATTAGAAAAAAATAAATAAAAATATTTTTTATAAGATCATATTTCTAGAAATCTAATTTTAAAAATTATTTTTTAATTTGAAAATTACTTTATGTAAAAACAAACTGCTATTAGAGTTCGTGAGTTATGAGACCTTTTGCCATAGACAGAATTTATTAATTATAAGTCAAAATAAATTTAAATTTCTCTAAATTAATGCTTGTTACCCTGCAATTTACAATTAAAGCTAACGAAATATAAATACATAAAAATACAGCTTATAATTTGCCATAAATTCGCCTTAACTTATAAATGAGTTGTTAAGTCATGAGAATGATATGAGGATGATTATTATATAGATTTATTATATATCCGATTTCTCCAATAATTTCTATATCTAATGACACTCTTGTTAAGTGGGTAGTTTAACAGGGGTTTTTCCCAGTGTTGTTAAAATAGCGCGCTACTTTTTTCAGTAGCGGTAGCTATAGCGCGCTACTTTTTTTAAAAAATAGCGATAGCGGTAGCTCGCTACTAATTTAGATTCAATTTTACATAATAAATACATCTAAAAATTATTAAAATATATTTTTTATAAAATCTAAAATTATAATCCTTTTATTTAATTTAATTTTATTTTGAAATTTAAATTTATATTTAAAAATATACATTATTGTTATATATTAGATATAAACAGTTGTTAAATAGAAATCTGTATTTAATTTATATTTCGCGCATTCATTAAATTATATATTTTTGAAATTCCGTTATTGGTATGTCCTTGATTTTATCTTATTTTATATTTCATTTTACATTTTATATTAAGCATCATAAATCTTGTTATGTGTGAGATTGTTGAAGATATTGAAATTTCTTTGGAAAATGAGCAAAATATAGATGATCCTTTCCCAAAATTCAAGAAATACTTTAACCTTGAAGAAAAAATTAATACTGGATATCGGTTTCGGTGCAAGATGTGCCGCAAAATTATCTCTTCAAATCATACGAGCAGCCTTAATTTGAAAAAACATTTAAAGGTAATATATTAAACAAATTTAATATCAATGTGTAGGCTAATCTTTAATTTTTAAAATAAATTAAAATAAAAAACCATATATTCATAAATTTTATCTAAATTATTTAAAACATTTTAAAATAGTTATTTCAATCATTTTTATGTACTTATCTCCTACATAATTTTTATTCTAAGTATTTTATAATTTTAGACTGTGCACACTTCAAATTATAAAGAGATTGAAAAATATCTCAAAAGTTTTGGGGTAATGGAAGAAGATAAATCCACTTCCAAATCAAATTTAATACAAACAAATTAACCAATTTGGATTCATTAACACCTGGTGTATCCCATAAATTGGCTGACAAAGTCATTATGAACTTTATAATAGATACAGTTCAACCATTATCCTTGGTGGATTCTTTTATAAAGATGATAAACACCTTTTCTCCACGCAAGATATTTTGCCGGCAGACATTGATGGCAAGAATTTTGGAGAGCTTTAAGGAAATGAAAGAATCTTTGATATTAATTCTATCAGATGTCTCCTATGTCTGTACAACGGCAGATTGCTGGACTCACAATAGAAGGTAAAAATGTTTATTTTCTGATTTATAATATGTCATATTTTTAGAGCTTATTTAGGAGTAACTGCACATTGGATTGATCCTAAAAATCTTAAACGAAAATCTGTAGCGTTAGCTCTAAAGAAATTTTTATTTACCATAAATCATTGCTATTTTAATATTTTTTTTTATAAATGAATCTAAATCTCAGATAAATTTAAATTTTAAAAATTAAAATGGTATTCTTCTTTTTTTATAATAAATACAATCGCTTTATATAAATTAGATTTCCAGATCTGTATGATGATGATAATGTAATAGCTGCTATCGTTCATCCTAGTTTCAAGTTAAATTGGCCATACATTAATTTGACTGAATCTAAATGGCAACTTGATAGGCTGATGGTAACGTTAAAAAATGGCATGCCTAACCACGATACTATAGCAAGATCGAAACTGCAGCCTTCCATAGACAATTTTTTTGAAATAAATAATAATAATAATATTATTAAACCTCTAGATGCTTTTTTTAAATCTAAAAATACTTATATAAATATTTTTGATGATTTTTTTCATATAAAAAGTTTGTTTATTAAATTTAATACTGCGTTGCCCTCAAGTGCTAGTGCTGAACGATTATTTAGTATGGCAAAGCTTATAATTTCTGATCGTCGCTCTAGACTTGGGGATGACAGTACCGAAATGTTATTATTATTAAAGTGCAATAATAAATAAATTATATATATATATGTAACAAATTATAGTCATGTTTTTATATCAATATTTTATTTGTGGAAATAAAGTTACATAAAAAAAAATATTTAAAAAAAAATCAAAGTAGCGTAAAAAGTAGCTAATAGCGCGCTACTCATTTGAAAACGATAGCGGTAGCGATACCGCGCTACTTTTTTTATAAAATAGCGGTAGCGATAGCGCGCTACTTTTAAAAGTAGCGTTTAACAACACTTCCCCATGTATTAAGAGGTTTTTGGACGTTCTCTTTCGTCTATAATGCTGGAGGGTGAGGCTATAATGGGTGTTCAATGAAAGACATTTGTCTTTGTAGGGCATTAAAAAAAATATTAAAAACTAAGATTTAAAAACACAGATAAAATAACACAATAGTTTACAAGAATAAATTAGGAGCAAAATATTGTGACTCATCAATCATTGTATTTTATAAGGAAATCTCTATGACTTCCCAAAAAAAATTTTACATTAGTTCAGGACATTTTCTGCTTAAAATTCTCATTCCTTTTTATCTCTAGTTGATCTAGTTGATAATATCGACAACTAGCTAAAATTGTGCTTAACAACCTTTATTCAGAGTTTAATTGAGCGATAGCCCAACTTCCGCCCAAACAAGGCGATTTGACACAATTTTGGTATCATCTTTGTCAACCTTCTCCGTCTTCAATGTGAGGAAGATTATTAGCCGGCTTGTGAAGGGTAGAGTTAGTTTATTATTTAACTGCTCGTGATTTATGGAGTAAAAATTCTTGCCTTGAATCTATTCTACAGCACAGTACAAAAATAAATTGCTACGAGTTAGCTTTAAGAAGTTTAAATAGTTTCCATTGGGAAGTACTCATTCTCAAATACTTAGGATCCAGGTCGTGAACTGAATCGGTTCCAAGTGCCAATATGGGTTTGTCATTAACAGGGGTTGAGGGTTATATAGATTTAACTGCGACATATTTCTACCAATGTCTGATCCTAAGGAGTATACACAGCCTAAGTTTCATGAGGTTTATACTTATACCAAATGGTATTTTGGAAAACATATCATCAGAGGTTTCACTGCAGTTCTCCCCTATTCAAAACATTGATGTGATTAAAACATTTTAAAAAATGTAGAAGATAATCAAATTAAAACAGTTTTTTCAGATTTTTATTTAATCGCAATAGTTATTTCAACCGACATGTCCTTAGCTCATAAAGCTCCGATTATTTTCTGACTTGAAGGAAAAAATTTCCAAGAATCCATGGGATCTTCTAATTTTCAAATATCCAATCACAGTTCCCGAATATTAAGTTCATCTCTTCTTAAAATGTTTTATAATAAAACATAATTCATTAATTTGGTTAAAATAAATATAATTTTGTTATTGGAGTATTGGTAAATTAAATATCAGTATAAATATTATTATACAAATAATTGACTTAAAACAATTTTTTCTTTTTAGCTTTCACCTTTTCTGATGGTAAGCTTATTCAATATCTCTCTCCACGTTATGTTATTCATGCTATCTCTTTTATCTAATTTATATTTCTTCATATTGGCTCTAACTTTATGGTCCCATTGAAGTTTTTGGCCTTCCTCTTTTACGTTTGCCCATCACTTCAAAACTCTTAACCATATTTCCTATATAGTTCATAGGCCTTCTCATTGTGTGTTCATACCACCTAAGTCTGTTCACCATTATCTTAGTCTTAATAGGCAATACCTTTAAACTTACTAGTATTCTTGTACTTCGCACCTTATTCTTTCTTGATGCCCCAGCACCTCAGCATTCTCATCTCCATAGTTTGTATTTTATAGACTTCTCTCGTCTGATTCTTTGGTTGGCCATGTTTCCTAACTATATAGAATAGTTGGTTGTGGAACTGTAAATTTTTCCCTTCAATTTGTAAAAATATACATATGTTAAAAAAAAATTACTTAGATAATTATTTCTATTTTTTTGATAATTATTTATATGTTTTTGATAATAATTTATATATTTTTTGATAATTATTTATATTTTTTTTTCAATTTTCATGATAACAAATAGATTATTTTATTTTATTTCGACGGAGAATATTTAAAATATTATGTTTTGGAGATATATCAAAATAAAAAGTTAAAAAATATTAGTCTCATAATTTGTATCATTCAAAACAATTGTTGTTAAACGGTTCATTTTTAGCCAATTTTTAAAAACGGCTAACTCAATATTTTATTAGCAAAAATATTATGCAAGCCTTAAGATTTTGTTCATAAGTGGCACAAAGAGTTGAACATCTATTAACTAAATCTCGAAGCTTAGATAATATTTTTCTGGCTAAAATATTGAGAGTTAGCCGTTTTTGAATACGTTAAATTTTTTTTGTTATATTGTATATTTTTTCAATTTTTTCAATTCATGCCCAATTTTTAAAATATTATTTTTTATGTCCAGTTAATTCTATTTTTGTAGCTTTTAAAAAATTTGTGAAATATAATTTGTTTTAAATTTAAAAAATTAAAATAATTAAATATTTAAAAACAATTTTTAAAAAATTTTAAATTGCAGAAAAATAAGTAACGAATTATCGGCCGATGAAAAATAAGTAACGAATTATCAGCTGATAAATATTTTTCTCCGAATCGTGTTATAATTCGTTTACTTACGATTCTAACTAACTTCTTATGCACAAATTTGTTTTTAAAAATAAAGTGTATACCGATTTGTATAACAAGAAGAAGAAAACGGATTATAATTAGACCCACGTGGAGATATAAATCGGCCACGGATTTTTATCAGCTGTTACCGGCGACAATTTAACCGGCCGAGGTAATAAATATAGGAGCGATTTATGTGCCTTTTAAAAGCGTATTCCAATCTAATGGAGTAACTAGGAGCTGGGTTGTCAATAATTCATTTGTGCTAAATAGTTGTAAGCAATATTCATTTATAAAAATTTACGATAGTCTTAAAGAAAACAATAAACCTTCAATATAAATTCCTTCTTTTTTTATTTCACGATCGAGAAAAATAATTAAACTGCAAAATTGGTGAACGAGTCAAAAGTGCTAAAAAAGAGATGGTAATAATAAAAAAAGAAAATTAAAAATAAATAAATAATCAATACAAGGATAAAGAAAAAAGGCTCCGATCAAAAAAAAATACTACTAAATACTCAGAATAATTTCTTGATATTCTGATAAAAAAAAACTTGATTGCCCAGAAAAATAATACCAATTTCTAATGTTTAGATTAAAAGTGAATCTCTCAGAAAAAATGTATGAAAAGCTCAGAAAATCGTCTTTTTAAGATTTTTAAGAAAAATATCTCATGAAATTCAGTAAAAACAAAAAAAATTCTTAGTTTTTAAAAGTATTTTTCAATTCTTTAGCGATTAAAAGAAAAAATTTGGACCCGAAATTAATATAGGTTATATAAAAAAAAATACCTCTTATTTATGTATACTTCAAAAATAAATTTGTAGATCTAAAGGAAAAAATGGCGAGGGTACTATTACAAGCGGGGATACTTGTACTAATAATAAGAGAAGAGATCTGCAGTTAGGCCCGTATAATTTTAAAAGTAATTCGGGCCAGGTCGGGTCGGACCTTGGAAATTTTTTTAAATATATCTAAATTTATCAATTTTATATTGAATTATTATAAAATAAAAATATTTGATTTTATTTATTGAAACTATACGACGTATAACATATGTCTTTTATTTTGAGTAATTATAAAAATTAATTTCTATATTTAAATAAATTCGTGTCGGGCCGGCAAAACGTTTTTAAAAAAATTTCGGGCCGGGCCGGGCTTGAAAAATTAGGCCCGGTGCAGATCACTAGAGAATGTTATAGAATTTATGATGACCAATCGTTTTTCTTTAATAAATTTCCAGTATATGCTTAATAACAAAAATGTCTCTTTTTTATATATATATTATTTTCTTTTTAAAAACACCTTTAACCTTTTTAAAACTCAAAATAAACAAAAATAACATGTTCAATTACGATATAAAATCACTTCCTTAAAACATTAAAATATAAATAATATAAAAAAATACCCAATTACAATATAAAAATAAGGGCTTGAAACATTAA